CAAGGTGATATTTTTTAAACCACTTGCTGGTTTCTTGTGTGTTGTCATTTCCTTCACAATCTGCAAAACCCTTTTCTGTATGTGAGATATCTCAAGACAGTTTGCAGCACTCTTTCTTCCTCAGTGCTGAACCTTCTTTGAGCAGCAACTGTCTTCAGTGTTAAATTTTGCAGTGTTTATTCAAAGCATGAGAAGCCCCTGTTGCTGTGTAGGCTGTAATCTCAAGCTTCCAGGAACTAGGTAAAACTACATCTTTTCAGCTTTGGCTCTCTGACAGTGAATTTCCTCATAAACATATTGCCTGTCAACAAAATTTTGTAGATAAAGTGAAGTTGTCTTTAAAAGTTACCAGCCTATGCAGAAATGGTTCTGCATTATTTTTTGTGATAGAGAATGCCTTGAATTGCCAGTTAGGTATTGCATAGTGTGTCCTCAGTCTTGTATTTATCAAGAAATAGCTGTTAACCTCCCATGATTCCTAAAGTATAGGCCTGAGAGAATTTATACAGAAGAGGTCTGGACCAAATCCTCTGCTTTGCAAGCAACCTCATCCTGTCATTTCACATTTCAGCTCGTGAAGTGTCTAGGCCTGTCACCTTCAAATGGCACTTCTAATGTAGATTTGTCATTTCTTTATTCTTCCGCTGTTCAGAAGCAGCAGAAGCTGAATGTGATCCTGAACATAATGTGGTGTTTCCATGAGTGGTAAATTGCTCCCAGTCAAACTGTTTCAGTCTTATCTTTTCAAGATAATTTGGCTTAATATTGCATCACAGTGATGTAGTTCTGTGTGCTAGGATCTGATTGCTGTCTGCCTTTGGGGAAAGAGGGCTCCTCCACCTCTCATCTCCCAGATTGCTTTTCCTCATTTCTGTTTGCAAAAGCATAATTTAAAATGTTCCCTCCATTCAGAAGTAATCTTAATTTTAAAATCATCTATTTACGTGTTTTAAGCAGAGAAAAAATTGCAGGAAGATGAAGTATTGCATAAAAAGTGGCATCTGGCTGCAAAGAGGTGTCACACATAAAGCTGTTGCCCTACTTACTTGTTTCATTGGCTGAAAATTATAATTATAGCTTTTTTTTCCTGACTGGTGACATGTTAAGTACTCAAAATGTCAGGTCAAAGGTCAGGGGCTAATGATTTAACTAAAAATAACTCTAAAGGTGTAGTATATATCTGAGAAAGAACTTGAGTGGTGTCACTTTTGTTTTCTGGGGATTTTCTCCTTTGTTTTGGTCTTTTAAATTTTGTTTTTAGCACAGCCTGGTTATGAAAATTTCATTTGACATGAACAGAGGCTATACCTGCTTATACCAAATCATAAAAAAAAAATTCTCACTACATTTCACATACACCATCCAAGGGGCTTTGATGGTGGTTTACTTGTTACTTTCCTTTTAAATGTGGTGGGGTTTTTTTCTTTAAAGTTTTATGCTGTCAAAGAGCTTTGTGCTGAGCTGGCACAGCTGCCTGGCAGGACCACTCACCTCCTCCAGGACTGTGTGGCAGGGTGTCCATAAGCCAAGCCCTGCCCGGGCTGTGGCACTCAGAGCCTGTCCCCTGCTGCTGTTTGGGCTGTGACTCTGCCCTTTCCCCTGCCCGTGCCCACTGTGATCTGGGGTGTGTTGTTGTGTTTTCCTTGCTCTCTGGCAAGAAGCACAGTGATAATATGCTAGAGGATGGGCACTGCAGTGTGTTAAAGCAGAACAATGGATTAATGTACTGGGGGAGACAAGAGCAGCCCTGAGCGTGGATGGAGTGCTGCAGACACTGAGGGAGCCTTTGTTTGCAGGGTGGCTGCTGCAGACACACAAAGTCCCTGCAGAAGGGACAGCAGCAATGCTTGCAGCTCACACAGAGCAAACCCTCTCTTCTCTAGGCCAGTGTATGCAATGTGGATGTGTGTGTGTACTTAGGAATGAAATAATGGATCCCTTATTCCTGGCACATGAGTGTGTGAAAAGGAGTAGTCTTTGTATCTTGTGACATGGGGGAAAGAAACTCTGGCTAATTAGCAACAGTATTGTTAAGGAGAAATTATTTCAAACTCATTTTTTCATTACTGTCTTTGTAAAAGTGGAACTCCTGATAAAAGACTAAGGACTGCAAAACCAGTGTGTGTTTTCCATGCTCCCACACGTGTCCTTCAGCAATGTGACAGAATGAGGCACCTTTATTTCCATGTCTTTTCTTGGCAAAACAGCTTGGTTTTTATTGACAGTTTTGTCAGAAGTCTGTTTTGTCAGAAGTCTGAGTGAGTTTGCATTCCTTGGTTTTCTGAAAGCTTTTTGTACTTTGGGAACTAAAAAGCCTTAACCATCAGAGGATCCATTTCATAGAGCTTCCTCAGTCTTCATATGTTTAATGATATTTAATACATGAAACGGCTGGTGATCTACAAATGACAAGCTTGTTATGTTGTTGCCTATCTCCTGTGTTAGGCAGTCCCTGCAATCAGACCAGAAATCTCATATTTTCAAATGGCATGGGGTTTTCTTTTTTCTATTTCCAAGAGCACAGGAGGAAAAAAGAGAGAATGGTGCCAATCCTGTGAAGAAGTGGTTGGTTTTGACTCACTGCAGGAACTGTCTGTGGGAGAGGAAAATTGTTTGTTACCAGTTGTCCCATTTAGACGTGCATTTTTAGGCATTTACTTGGATTTCTCCTGCCTCCTGCTGCTGCTCTACTTGAGCAGGGGGATCCATAAAACTGCTGTAGGCTCTCTCCCACACACCTCTGTCTACCATGAGTGAACTCTGCGAGGGGGAATGGCGAAGAAATGAGAGTGTTTCTTCTTCATTTTCCAGCTGGAAATCTTTATTTTTACTGCAAACCATCCCAGGCACACAGACCTCCCTGCAGATTCTGCAGAGAGGCTTGATGGCCACTGTCACACGAGGTCTCATCAGAGGGAGGGATGATCCCTGTGGCCAAGGCTGGCATCTGGCAGTGGGTCTGTGAGACCTGCACTGCACAGCCTGGGTTATCAGCTGAACTCTTCTGCCTTCCCCTGACTGTCAGCTTGCTGTGCCTGAATGTGAGAGCTGTGCTGCAGTCATTCACACCTATTGCATGTGTTACATGGAAGTTGAGAACATAAAATTAGGTTGCTTTGATCTTCTTAACGCTTTGCTATTAAATTTAAAGGAGCGTTCAGCCATTCCAAGTAAATTCTTTTTACCAAAATGTGGAATATCTGCCTCAACTGGTACTTTAATTTGTTAGACAGATACTGCCTTGGCTCTCCCAGGGATGGGTGACAGAGGCTCCTTCAGCCTGTGGCTTTGAGCAGCACAAAGTGGTGCTGGAGCTGTGCTCTTATCTGAGGGCTTGGCATTGTTCTTGCAGAATGAGACCTTGAGAATTGCAGCAGAGTCTGTAATTAATTGTTACCCAGAGCCTGTGCCCACAGGCGATTAACTGGGCCTAACTCAGCAGTTACTGTGGGAACTTGTCCAGTTTATAGTGCCCCAATATCTGTGGGACTTAAACTGGCTTGCTTTGGCAGCAGAGGTCAGCTGGTGTGGATGATGTTAGTGCTGCTGCCCACAGAACCAGCCCTGCCCAGGGAGAACAGCAGCTCCATCAGAGACCTCAGCAAACCAGGGCAAGACCAAATGGATGTGATGAGAATGGTGCTCAACCCCAGGGTGGGAGAGCTGGTCACTGTTCTTCGGCCAGGTGGGAATGCCTGGCCAGGCACCCAGGGTGTCTGAGGTACCTCTGCGGTTATCACAGGCATTGACATCATCCTGGGAGAGAGGAAGGGAGGAGGAGGAGCTCTTGCCTCTGGGGCCAGAGGGGCCATGCTGAGGGACATGCACACAGTCCTGTCCATCTGGGGCTGGTTCTGTGTTGGGATACCAATGTGCTCCTAAGCATGACACGTAACATCAACGTGAGACAAAACCAGCTTTTGGCTAAGGTGGACAGGCCAAAGACAGAGAAGGAACTCATGTAATTTATACGTGTTTGAAAAATAGCTTCATTATTTCATCAGCAGGGGTTTTTCTATCATCCCAGAAACAGAATCCAGATCTCTGCCAGGCCTTTAGGCTACAGAAACCATAGGAAGCTTTTCCATGCATATGTCTTTGATTTCCCTGCACAGCAGTTCCTGATGCCAGTGGCAGGCCCTGCGGACTGTCACTGTGCTGCCTGAACATGGAGGTGCCTGAAATGTCATTCACAGCTCCTGTGCTGTAAGGACAGCCTGGTCTGTACCTTGGCTATGCTCTCCGTGTTCCAGACCCAGCTCTGTAAAGCTTTGGGGGAAAGTTTTATTCCTCCTTTTGCTTTTTTTCACGTTAGTATATAAAATAGGATTAAGCTTACCCAACTCATAGGCAATGTTAATTTCTGCGTTATTTTGTAGTGTGTTGTTTACTCGTATAGTTGGCTTTATACACAGAATTCTCTGTGAGTTGAGAGAAAATTGTTTTAGGACCAAATGGAAATCATACTTTTTTATAAGAGAAGATTTTTTTCCACAACAAAGGGACTGTCTTCACTCCAAAGCTGCTACCTCTGTCCTGAACAGCCATGCTTGAATTTTTCAGATTCAGAACAATTCTGGGATAAGCTGGTGATTAGAGCAGAGTGATAAAAGGTTTCTGTGGCTGACTCTGCTGTTGATTTCTCCCTCTGTAAGATGGCATTCCTGATCTTTACCAATGACCACTGACAATTTGGTGGAGCCCTGTCCCACAGACTCTGGGTAGAAGCAGCTGCAGAAGCGTGCAGTGAATAGCAGTGGCAGATGCTTTGCTGCACCAGGTTCTCTAAGGAGCTCTGCCACAGGCCTGCCCCAGCACACCCATCCTGGAGGAGCATCCTGCTGGCAGGAGTCCCGCCAGGCAGCTGAGTGCCTCCTGTCTGCCACCTGCCCTCACCTTGTGCTGAGCTGCTCACACTCAGGGTGGAGGGGTGGTTGCCAGGCTGGGGACACAGAAAAGAAGTGTCAGAACAGCTGGGAATTCACATGTTTGTGTTTCAGAGATGAGAGGAACCAGTCCATCATTGTCAGTGGGGAGTCTGGAGCTGGGAAGACTGTCTCTGCTAAGTATGCCATGAGGTACTTTGCCACGGTCAGTGGGTCTGCCAGTGAAGCCAACGTGGAGGAGAAGGTCTTGGCCTCCAACCCCATCATGGAGGTAAGAGAGCTGCTGCACCAAACCTCACCCTCCAGCTGCAGTCATTGCTGGGACAAACATTCAACAGAGAGAGCAATCCATACTTCCTAAAAACATTTATAAATATACCTTAAGATTTTGTGTTTAATCCATTTACGAGGAGTTGCTTTAGGCATCATTTATGAGAGACTGGGAGAAGTTGGGAGGTAATGTTTCTATATTAATGTATTTCACGTAAAGTAATTTTAGTGTGAATACTGCTTTAAGTCTCTTAAAGTGTCTTTAAGTCTCTTCAACGTTCTAACTGGTAGTTTCCAGACTGCTGGCCAAATGCAATTGGAGAAGACTGGTTTTGTGTGTATCCAAAGAGGATAAAACTGTTGGTCTTACCCACCAAATATGTACATCACACAGTAGATTGTACTCTGAAAGGAAGTAAAGCAAATGTTAAATTTTAGGAAATAAAATTTAGGAAATAAAAGAAAAGAGAGACTGAGGAAACAAAGGTGCATGGGATGCACACCATTTCTTTCAGAGGAAAAAAACATATCAGAAGACATAATATTGCTGTAATTAGCTCAGACTCATGTTTCAGTTCTGGAAATTGTTGTAACCAACTGTAGTCAAGTCCCAAGGCTTTGGAGGGCAGGTGCTGGCAATAGACTTCGAGAGGACGTGTACAATTCCTCCTGCTTCAGGGTCTCTGTTCTCTGAGAAGCTCAGGAGACACTAATTCTGATGTCACAGCCAAGCAGAAAAGATTTCTTAGACTTATCTGAATTGTTTCTCATGTCTTTGCCTACATATGTAGATTCAAGTTGTGGCTGAAGTTAAGGAACTATGTTAAGAAATGATTCATCAGAGAGGAAGTCTTGGGGGAATTTCTGGAGGGAAGTAACTCTGTCCATAGGCACACACGTACTGATGCCTTGGTGGATGTTGGACATCTCTCTGCAGAGTGAAAGATCATGAGCAAATAGAGTGCATGCAGTGAAATGTGAAATGCAAAATGGTGCCATTGTTTTTTTCCTCAGGTATTTTAAAAAATGAACTGTGTTTTATTCCTCCTTTCCTCCTGGCATGAGGAGTTCATGATACCCAAACTATAGCTGCCCCATCACAGTTGTGTGTGTCTGTCACAAGGTAATTGTGCCTGGTTTGTGGTGCTGTGTGCTGTTTGGAAATTCCTTCTGTGGGGTGAAACAAGCTGTGCTGTGCTGGGCAGTGGCTTATCCAGATGTCCAGCCATGGGAGGAGGCCCAGGAGCTGCAGCTGCCCTGGGGAGCAGTGGCAGGGTGCAGGCTGAGCCCCAGGGGACACCTGGCAGTGCTGCAGTGCTTGCAGGAGGTGCCACATCCCACCCTGATCCCCGTGTGTGGCTGATGGGAGCGGTGCTGAGCCCCCTGCCCTGCCCTGGCAGCAGGACAGTGGCCTCAGCCTGCCACTGACAGCCCTGCTGAGAGCCTCTCAGGACAGGCTGGGGCTGGGTGTTTGCAACACAAACTCTGCAGCTTTCCCTGCACCACTTCTTCTGTTTATCTCGAAGCATAAAGCAAACATCCTCCTCTCAGTCCTTGGGCCCCTCCTCCCAGTCAATGACCATCAGCTCACCACTAATTATGATTTAATTTCCAAAAGCAAGGAGGTTTCAATTGAGGACCAAAAGAGCTTCCCATCTATACCTTTTTTCATTCACTAAAAATCAGTGGTGGTGATTTATTTTTATTTTCTAGGGATAACAATTTTGTGAACATGGGTATATCTAAATATATATTTCAGTTGCCTTAAAGATTTTTATAATTGGACATAAGTTATCTTTTTAACTTCCAACACTTGAACTTTAAATTACCTTTAGATTGAGTGTTGTAAAATCTGATGTTGAGACAGACTCTTATGATAGCATAATTAATGTTTTGAATTCTTCAGTTGATTAATCAGTAGAAACACAAATTAACCCATATATTTGAGGAAGAAAATGAGTACTTCATTTTAGAAACTGGAAACTCCTCATTTGCTGAGCTGACTGTAAAATCTTAGGAGTAGAAGGTAATTTAATTTTTAAATTTCTGTTTGGACAACCTAAACATTGGTGTTTTATGAGCTACCATCACATTATTTTAGCCTACTAAATACTCAGTAATGTCAAGAGGTAGCTGTACATTTTTGGCAGCTATTTAAATGACTACTTTTGTAGTCAATAACTATATACAGTTTTCCTATTGCAAATGTGGAAATCAGTAAGTCTTAAAACATGTTTGTATGTCATTTCCTGCCTCTCATTCTTTGTTACCCTCTATAGCTATGCAAATACTACTGCTTTGTATGTATTCAGGCAAGCAGTCTGATAATCCCAAAGATTTTCTGTTTTTATCAGTAATACCTTTCAAAGGAATAATTGGTTTCTGAAATATCATAGCATTGTATTGCTACCACGACCAACAAAGTATATCACACTAGCAATCATTTTCTTCTTTCAAAAAACTGCAAGAGTGCAGTTAGAGTACAATCAGTTTGGATGAATTTGGTGTTTCTTAGAAGTGCAGAGGTGCAGTTTGTTCCTAGATCCTTTGCAGCAGCTGTCCATCTGATGCCCACTTTGACGTCTGCTGTTGGCTGTACGTGCTGCTGCTGCTCTCGTGGGTTTCTGGCAGTCTAATCCCACTTGCCAGGCTGGACCAGCTGGCACTGACCCATTCACTGCTTGCAGATTTGGGATACTCAGCAGTGCTGCTTGCTCTCATTTGTTTTTCTCAAGTTTATTTCAGTTCAGAGTTCCAGTGGATGGCTGAGAAATTTGGGTACAAATGCAGTGGTGCACTTAGGGCTTAGTGACACACACAGTGATGAGGGGCAGTGTGCTGCATCTCAGATATTCCAAATGCCATTCCTTTTGATACAGAGATACCTTTAGGAATGTTTTAGAAGGTGAGTTGCTGTATGATGTCTAAAACATGGTCTGATTGAGAAGAGAAAATGCTTTTGTTTGGAGTTCAGCGTGCTGTGATTTGCATGCCTTGATTCTGATGTGTCCAGCTGGTACCTGTTGTTGTGAACCCTAATGCTGAGGAGGTAAGGCAGAATTGCACCATGTAGGATCCACAGTCATTATTTGCCCTGGGCATCCCAGGACACGTAATACAGAGGAAATGCACAAGGTATGGTTTGCTGTGTGGAGCTGTATTGAATTAATCTGAGAAGGTTCAGCATCCAGGGCTGTCTCTGGGGCAGTAACCAGGCTGCTGTGGAAGAGGTTCAGTTTCACATGACATGAGTCAGTTCATATTACTTTTTAGATTAGGCTTAGCCACACAGTAAATATTTTTAAATATTATATTTGCAGAAATAGTTTGGAAATGTGGTGATTAGGGAGTAATAGTAATGATCAGGCAGAACAGAGTGGGCTGTGGGTTTATAATAGGTAGAATTTCAAAAGTTGCAAGTACTATAGATGTATGTGTACACCTACACATATAAATATATCCAGGTGAAATAATTCTTATAGTTTTACTAAGTCTTTGAAAGAAATCTGTATGTGAGCTTTCTGTTAGACTCTTTATTGCAGTTTTACTAAGTCTTTGAAAGAAATCTATGTGTATGTGAGCTTTCTGTTAGACTCTTTATTTCCTTTTGAATGACTTCAAAGAACAATAAAGGATTTTTAGCTGTAGAATTAGACCATGTGGAAGTGAATTGCTAGGAATATCAGCTCCCAGTCTTGCATTAATGTTAAAAAATTAACTGTATTTTGATGTAACTTGTTGACCAGGCAGAGACTCCTCTTCATTAGATTTTTGGCTATTTTTAAACCAGGACACGTTTAATGTTGTTAAGTGTTTATGAGCCATGTAGCTGATTAAATAGATGTGATAATTTCTACAAGCTGTTTAACCTTTACAATATTCCCTTTTTCCAGTCTATTGGAAATGCCAAAACCACCAGGAATGACAACAGCAGTCGCTTTGGCAAATACATTGAAATTGGTTTTGATAAGAGGTATCGAATCATTGGTGCTAACATGAGAACTTACCTCTTGGAAAAGTCAAGAGTGGTGTTTCAGGTAAATCTGATGTCATCTCTTCATTTTTATGCCATACTTGAACCAATCCAGTGTCCCACACTTCCTCTCCATCTTTGTCTGCCTTACAGTCTAGAGCTCAGTAAAAATGGGCTTGTCCTTGACTGGCTGCCTAAAGATATAAAAATAATAATTATGGTTTGTACCATGTGGGAATGTTGCATGAAGAGCTGCTGTATATTTTAGAAGTAAGAGACAGTTATAGCACATGGTTTAGCTGGAAGAGAGTATTTTTCATTTCTTTTTGGTTTGAAGGTATGGAATTTAGAGTGCTTAAGTTCAGAATTATGGTGTTGGTCATGAGTCATCACCTTCTGAGCTGTGTTTGTCCTTTATTTTAAAATTCAAGCTTTGCCTTGGCAAGGAAGACACTCCTTTTACCAGATTACTATAAATGCTGAGGCAAATACTGTTAGTTATTTTTGGAAAATGAAAAACTTCTGAGTATGATCATTTCACTCACCTACAGAATCCTGATCTATAATTAATAGTAATCTACAGTTCTGAAAAGTGAAACCATACTTTTTTAAAAATGAAAATGTCTGCATGCTTCTTGCTGTTGAAAATGGATTAAATTAACCAAGAAGGAAGAGAGAGATGCTGATTTATCTTCCTTTTTTCCATGTGGTTTCTCTGCTCTTAATGTATTGCTAGAGAAAGCATTATACATAGTAATTCATTTCTGCTTGTGGTTGTTTCTGCCACTTGTTAAGTGGTGAAAAATAACAAATTCCTTTCTTTTTAAAGGCAGAAGAGGAGAGAAATTACCACATCTTTTACCAGCTTTGTGCCTCTGCAGCATTGCCCGAGTTTAAAACTCTACGATTAGGTATGACATTCACTGTGTTGTGTGACTGTAGGGACAGCAGCATCTCTGAGCTTTTTGAGCCAAAGAACCAACAGAAGAATTGATGGCTTTTAAATACTAAATTTTTAAACCTTTAAGTACTAAAGTGTATTGAGAATAACTAAAATGATAGACCTTGGACATTGTGGTTTTCTGATAAAACAAAGATTTGTTTATTCAGCAGACTCTAATACACTGCAGTTGCAATCAATTGGACTTACTATGTCCTGGAGGGTGAAATTATTTTCTCTTAGTTCTTTAAAACCTTTTTTCCATTGTTCCAGCCACTAGAGAATTTTACCCTTTCTGGTATAAGTGTCTGAACAGCTTATTTTGCATCTGCCTACTTTTACTTGGGCTGTTAGCAACAATTACTTTACATTCTCTGCTAACCTGGTGATCAAAATCTTTTCTTTAATCAAATTAAAATGTTGATAGAATAAAGATTTCTCATTTGACAGGAGTTGGTGCTTTGTAAAGGAAAAGCATGATGATGACCTTAGACAGACAATCAAGTCATCATTTTAAAAGCTCAGTATAAATTGCAGTGCTTGAGTGTATTTTTATAAGTCAAAATCATGGTAGGAAAGCTGCACAGCCTGTGCTGGTTTCTGAAATACTGTTCTGGTTTTAGAGTGTTTCTCTGCTCTTCTGCACCACCCTGGCACATTTAGGATTCACATCTGCTAACACAGGAAAGAAAGGAACTGATGTAATTATAACTGAAGAAGCCATTTAGCAGACTCCTCTTTCAGCATTCTTGGAACCTTAGCAGATCAGGAGAAAAGGAGTCTGTTAGTGCAGCTGGAAGCATGGCCAGTGAAACCGCAGGAATTTACCCAGGAGAGCTGCAGGTCTCCCAGTGGAGCCCAGTGCTGTCCCCAGGGCAGTATGAAACTCTCTCTTCTCCACTCGACTTCTGAGCCTGAATAGAGCTCAGATATTCATAAGGCTGAGCCAGGCCATCAATTAGAAAAGAGAAGAAAATGGGCAAAATGTAATATCCTGATGTAGTAATAGCATAGTAATATCTGTCACATAATTCTAAAGTGCTGCTGCTCTCAACTCTGTGGCTACTCTGTAGGTGGTTGGCTCAGGCTTGGAGAGCAACTGCTTCCAAAGTGATTATTCCACAATAATGCAAGTCTGAAGCAAGGTTAGGTAGAGAAAATGCTTGAGGACCTACTGTGGGAACCAGGTAGCTTAAAGAATCCTTACTTGCACAGTTAAATCTTGAAAAAAATGCTCTTTAGAATAAGTGGGTCTTACAAGCCAGAAGGTGAAAATGTACATGTGTCAGATCATGGATTCTGCCAAGAGCAACTTCATTGTGACGCAGCTTTACAGATGTGCTGTGAATTTCTGCATCAATGTGTGTAAAATATGTATTTTTTATTATTACAGGGAATGCAAATTACTTTCACTATACAAAGCAAGGTGGAAGTCCTGTGATTGATGGTGTTGATGATGCTAAGGAAATGGTGAACACCAGGCAGGCCTGCACTTTGCTAGGTAATTGGTAAATCACAGTCATATCCTAAATCTGTTACACTAACAAGTGTTTTCTATATTATTTGTGTGTATTATTTTCATACTCTGTTGTGTTTAAAACCAGGAGATAGTTTAGTTTGATAAACTTTGGGACTGAGATACTTGTATTGCATGGAAAAGATATTTAAATTGTAGTAGAATTATAAATCTAAGAGGAGGGCACATTATGTGAACATAAATGGTGGATTCCCTTGGTGTAACATATACAGTGCTGGAGGTCACTGACAAAGCACTTTGAAACAGCAAATTAAATGATTCATTTTAATGGATTTTTGTCTCATCTGGTTGTAAAACGTTTTTGATAGAAGTGGAGCCAATTAGTGCTGTCAAATGTCAAAGTCACACACAGCAGTCACTGTTCTTCTCTCCTTAACAAATTTTTCATCAACTGCAGCTCTCTCCATTCAAAACATTTTATTCATCCTTTTCCAGGGATTAGTGATTCCTACCAGATGGGAATTTTTCGGATCCTTGCTGGCATCCTTCACTTGGGTAACGTGGAGTTTGCATCTCGGGATTCTGACAGCTGCACTGTTCCTGTGAGTAGCAGATGAGCTGAAGGTTTGAACTCTGACAGGTCTCCCTTCTGCTTGTTTGGAGGGACCTCTTCTGAAAAAGAGTGAAATGGAAATGGGTTTATTTCTAATTTGCTAACATTTTCACAGTTTTTTTCAGATAGGTTCAACTCTTCTCAGTTCAGAGGCTTTAGACAGTGCTCTCTGTATTATAACATTGGTATACAATTATAGCTGTAATTGATCTGTCCTAGAAAAGTCTAGTAGGCAGGCTAGCTTTGAAGTCCTGAGCAGCTGTCTAGATCTTTATATTCCTGCATGAATATCTTTCCTGCACACAGTAAATGCTTTGCCAGATGGGTTTTTTTTTGGTATGAAGTGCCAGAATGCCCTAAATAATTGCAAAATAAATGCCTCTGGGATGCTTAGACATGAGCATAGGATATACAGATATGATTTGTGACTCAACCAAGTGTCATGGTTTTATCAGTTCTTTTTTGCCTTGGAGATCAGTAACAAGGACTGAATAGTCTCATCTGAAAAACCCTTCTCATTGGTGAGGGCCCAGGGTTTTTACCCATATTCTGGAGATGAGAAACAAAACAGTTCTGGCTGGTCTATTCTTTGGATTCAGAGTGACCAGTTTCTCCTTCTGCCTCTCTTTGAATGTCTACTGCTGGTCTGCCCAGCTGTCAACTTTCTCTCTTTTGCAATAGCAGCAACACTTGCAGAGTTTTTTTCTTTTCTCACTATCAGTCCCTTTCTCAGGAATCTGCAGTGGCAGTTTCTGGAGCTGAGGCAGCAGGTCCTTCGTGGGGCCAGAGGTGTTTAGTGTTACTGCCCTGACACCACCTGCCCGTGGGTCTAACAACTGCTTTGAAACCACAGCAGTAATCTGGCTCCTTGGTGGCTTATAAAGGTTTTCACTACAAAGAAAGCTCATTTAATGATAACAGGTAGAAAGCTGATGAGCCCCAGGACATGAGGAGTTTGCCTGTCTTGTGATGAGCATCTCCAGTGCAGGAATCCCCCACTGGCTGAGCTGGTAAAAAGCTGCAGGTTCCTGTGTGACCCTGTCCTGGCCTGACAACACCTGGCAGGCCGTGGTGGATGTGTGCTCAGGAGCACCATTGCCTGTTCTCTGGCAGTGCCATGTCACCCCAGAGCCCTGGCCATGCACACTGCTCTGCTGTGATGGAGCAGTGGTGCTGCAGAGTGCTCAGCAAAGGGCTCCCTATGCTGCTGTGGCAATAAATCAGTTTGTTTAATGTCAGCTGGAGCAACCCTAATGTGACACTCTTTTGTGCAGTGTTCATAAGTATTATTACTTTATTGTTGTCTTCCAAGCCAGTAAAACATGCTCAGTTAATTAGATTTTGGAGGTGTAGCTGCATGGGCCCTGTATGCTGTAAGAACTAGAAAAAGCCCCAGAGAAGTCACAAGGATGTGGAAATATTTAAAGCTGATGTACCCTGAAGCTGTAGGACATGTGGTGACAGTCCTGTGCCATCTGTCCTTGTCAAGACAGTGCTTGTCAGTGTGCTGCTGAGCCACCAGGTGCAGCAGGAGCGTGATGAGGAAGTGCTGTTAGGAGAGCTCCTGAGGAGGAAAGACCTGTCTGTCCTCCTCTATTTAGAGTGATCAGTTTGCATGTTAGTCACTAAGTGTGGGATCTTATTGAGTGGTAGATGCACTGCACTGATCTTTGTGCAGAAGCCTTATGTACCCATCTCAACATGCAAGCCTCGCTGGTTGATTTTACCCAGTTAAACAAAGCTCAGCTTTTTTCTCTTGTACACTTCAATGTGAGAGCTAGAGAACATCATTAGTGTGCTGCAATCTCTTAGTGTTTGTCTCCAGAAATCACTGAGAAAACACTTTAAGTAGAGACCAGAGCACTGGAGCCCTTCCACACTTGTTTCTTGGCTCAGGCTGCGTTGCCTCCTTGCCCATCACTCCCTGCCACAGCTGTGTGTGAGCAGTCAAGAGCCCCTCTCAGGAGCTCTGTCCATTTGGCCTGACACAGGTGTAAGAATTCAAAATGCAAGTTTTCCAGAGAAGCCAGATGATTCATTTTTCTGAAGGTGGCAGGTTCCCTGTGTGTGAAGCCTTTTGGTGAACATGTATAGTACAATAAATGCCTTTCAGGAAGATTATTCACTAATTCACTTCAGCGATGTGATTGTGTTAAGTGGGTGGGGAAATTGCTGCATTTCGAAGGAGGAAGAGCTGAGGAAGCTGCTGTTGCTGCTTGTTGTGGGATAACTGCAGGCAGGCAGTTCTGTTGGCATGATTGTATGTTTGCTGTGGGTAATACTGTTATCAATATATTCTAAAGAGCCTGTTTTTGTTAGCCCAAGCATGAGCCCCTCACCATCTTCTGTGACCTCATGGGTGTGGAGTATGAGGAGATGGCCCACTGGCTTTGCCATAGGAAGCTCGCCACTGCCACTGAAACGTACATCAAGCCAATTTCCAAACTTCACGCCATCAACGCCAGAGATGCACTTGCCAAACATATCTATGCTAACCTCTTCAACTGGATTGTAGATCATGTGAACAAAGCCCTTCATGCCACTGTCAAACAGCATTCTTTCATCGGGGTGTTGGACATCTATGGGTGAGTTTTTGTCAGAGATGTGATACTCTTACATAAGTATCTGACTGCAAAGCAACCTTGTCTTTATCATCTAGCACTGCATGGGTTACACAAAAACTCCCAAACCTTAGCAGCTGCTTATTCCAGCTGAAGGAAGTAGGTGTTTGGTTTTGACACACTAAGATCTTTGTCATGACTTCAGCATTTATAGTAGGATTTCAGATTTTTTGCTGTTGGTAGTTTATTTATCTGTTGCATTTTGGAAAGTTACAAGGCAATTTTCATGTCAGGTTTCTCCAAGGTGGCACTTACAAAGATAACTAATATGCTCTCCAGGAACATCAGTCCTTTCCCTAACTTCCTCATCCCTGCATAGAGAGGGAGCATCAGTAAAGTGCCTATGTAGTGCAATTTCCCTATGTATTTTATTTGTGCCTGAAATAATTAAATGAATTTAACTGGAGGGAGGCAATTTAAAATTTTGGGGTGATTGTATCCTTTTTTTTTTTTTAGTACAGTAGTAATTTTGAGTATATGCATATTTCAGGTTTGAAACATTTGAAATCAACAGCTTTGAACAGTTCTGTATCAACTATGCCAATGAAAAACTGCAGCAGCAGTTCAATATGGTAAGTAGGAAGTGACTGGCATTTCCTCTTCCCTTTCCCCTCATCCAAGTCCATTCTGCTAATTGGCTCCCCAGTGGTTAGGATGAATTCCTTCAGTCTATTAAGCAGCTGTCCTGGCCGTGGGCTTTGAGGGATGGGGAAAGATCGACTATCTCCTAGAAATAGATTTTATGACTAACTGCTGCTCTGGGACTATTTGAAATTCTGATCACAGTCACAATTATAAGGCAGAAGCAGTGCTTGGCAATTAGGACCCTGAGATTGCCTGTCAGTGGGAGCACTGTGTGGATGAAGTTGGAGTCAGAGGTGTGTCCATAACCCCTGAGGGCCCCGGACGGGCAGAGGAGAGCGCGGCTCCGCTGCTGGAGCTTCGCCGCCCGCGCTTCCTCCCCGCTGTTACTTTTTGAGGCTTTTTGGCTGCATGCTGAAGGTGATGAATGACGTGTGGCAGGAGGCGGCTCTTCCCCCTCCTCCGGAGAGATCACGATCCTCTCCTCAGCCTCAGTGACGTTTGCAATTACATATCTTACCTGCATCATGATGAGGCAAGTTATTTCTGCCAGGTCTGTTGCTAGGCTCTGCCGCAGCACCGGGGTAGCTCAGAGCTCTCGTTATGATCCTCCCTCTGTGGCAGTGTGTGCTCGCAGGACCAGATCCCCTGTGCCAAGGTTCATCCCAGTGTGTCAGGGTGCTGGAGCACAGCTGGGCTTTCCAGCCCTGGCATGCCCTTTCCATGTGGGTAGTGCCATGGCTGGCTTCAGCTCCGTGAGTGGGATGTCGTAACTGCCAGGCACAGGGTGAATTGGAGTTTTCTCAGCTTACAGCAAAATCTAGTTGCTGTAAGAGCTGTCATGGTTCTCTTCTTCAGTGAAGATAACTGTGCCCCTGTTCCCTTCCCTCTGGTGCCATTGCTGTAAGCACCTGCCTCCTGAAGGAGGGGGTGACAGGGCTGTAGTGTTGGTGTCCTGCCAAGCTACCAAACCCAGTGGTGGTGAACATGAACCTGTTGGGCTGCCATGCAGGCACACAGAGGGAGGCTGCTTTGAATTCAAACCTTGTGGCTGGCGGCCAGTAAACCTTCATGTGCTGCCTGGAGCAGCCTGAGCCTGGCTGAGGAGAGGCCATTTGGGAACTGCCTGACCACCCTGCCCTGCCTGGTGCCCACCGCCCACAGGGACAACCAGGTCTGATGGCATTTTTCACCACCTAATTGCTGGTTCCTTCACAGTGAAAAAACGAGTTTCTGTTTCCTTTCAGATCTTGGGTTGGATATGACTTGCCAGTAGAATGCTGGCAGGGCTTTGCTGCCAGGTGCAGGGTGGGAATGGCTCCCACGGGCGCGGTTCAGGAGCGCAGTGCTGGGGAGGATGGCGTTAAGCTAATGGGATAAAGGGATAAACAGCTCTGTCAGGGTGGTGTTCTGCTGCCTGGCAGACGTGTGCTGGGGAGCTGTGAGGTGTCTGTGCACTGTGCACTGAGCTCAGGGCAGCTGGGGCTGGTACCCAGTTCAGGTGTTGTGGCACCCCCAGACCCTGCCCGTGCTGCTTGGGGCACTCCCAGCACATGTTCACCTGCCACAGCAGCATTAAGTGTGCAGAAACATGTAGGTGGGGGATGAAACACCATCAAAAATAACTGGAGTCAGCAGTCTTTTTGGTTTTTCAAAGTGCTTGTTCTATGAAGACCACAGTTTGCCTGTTTAATGTCTTATTCTGGTTTTTTTTCCTGAAGTTTTAATTATCTCTTATGCACATTTCATTAAAGCTGTGCAGGTTGTTTGTGATAATATTTTTTCGATAAATATACAACTACACGGTTACTGATCTTCGTACCAGATAAATCTGTCACAGAATTTTCCTTAAAGGATTTCTAGTTCTAATGCTCCTTCAGCTTTTGCTGAAGAGTAAATTTTAATGCAGTGCGTCATGTTAGAAAAAAAAATCAGCAGCCATTTAAGAGGAAATGGAGCTCTGTTATTTTACAAGGAAACACGAAAGTGTTTATAGTGAAACTTTACTTGAATTAGAGCAGTTTTAATCATTTCCAAATTATGAAAGTATGGCACATCCCACTTTATAGGTTGCTGTTCCAGCACTTTAAGATTTTTCTGAGTTTTGTGTTGGTTTTTATAAGAGAAAAGAGCTTATAGTAATAGTGGGACAATATAGTAAAAAGATAGGATATTTGCAGAGAATATCCTTTAGAATATCCTTTATCTAAGGATAGACGCTTTAATTTGGACTGTTGTTTTTAGGCCAGGAAAAAAGGTTAATTTATTTTTCCTACATTATTAAAGAGTTTGTTCAGTTGAACTAGTGTGTCGCTTGACAGCCTGGATTAATGTGCCAAAATGAATCCAGTTGAGAGTTCAATATGTTTATTCTGCATTTCATTTCACAGAAAACTGTTTTCCTTTTGCCCTGCAGCACGTCTTTAAGCTGGAACAAGAAGAATATATGAAGGAACAAATACCATGGACCTTGATTGATTTCTACGACAATCAGCCTTGCATCAACCTCATAGAGGCCAAAATGGGAGTTCTGGATCTGTTGGATGAGGAGTGCAAGGTGTGTGTTCAAGGGCTTCCATAGAGGGAGAGGTCATCAGCTGTCCTGCTTCTGGGCCTTGCAGGGAAAAGTCACCTGCAGCCAGTTGTCATTTTGACACTGATGGGGCAAGAGTTTGGAGAGCATACAAACAGAACTGGCAATTACAGGAGGAGAAAAAATGGTTTCAGTAGTGAACTCCCCACCCCTTCCCCTCCATCATGTATCTGTAGCTGTTCCTGGGTTTCTGGTGTTGGACAGTTTTCTCTTCCCCGAGGATAAACAAGTGCAGTCCTTGGTCCTGTTACATTTCCCCAGATTGCCTCTTGCTTAGTGTTTCACCCTTTGTCTTTTACCTCGGTTTATTTTAATGCCAAGCCATGTACAGGGCATGGCTCAGAGTGTGTCTGCCCCAGTGGAAACCCAGCTTGGGGTTCTTATTGATCACAAGAAATCTCTAATGGAGGTGGATGAGTTCTGCTCAGTCTGGTAACGTGCCTTGGGGATCTCTGCCTTCAGGTGTGTGACACTGGAGGCATTGTTGGTGTCAGGTGTGTCCCAGCAGCTGCCTGTGCCCAGTATTGTGGAAGCACACAGCTGGTTACTGTATCCTTGCTTCTGGCAGTACTGGGAATCCGAGCAGCTGGAATATGAAAGCAAATCATCAAGTGTTGTCCCCCCATCTTCTTAGATGCTTTTGCTACTGAGATGTTCTCAAGACATTATTTAAGTGTATTCTGCATTCTTTTCCATAGATGCCAAAAGGCTCAGATGACTCTTGGGCCCAAAAACTTTACAATACTCATTTGAATAAATGTGCTCTCTTTGAAAAACCACGTATGTCGAATAAGGCCTTTATCATCAAGCACTTTGCTGACAAGGTAAGGACTTTTTCTGCAGTACTGCTTTCCTGATGCTGTGTGGGAGGGCACCCTGGGGCTGCCACAGCAGACACTGGGCAGTGGCATCTCTGGCTCTGCTTGGCTCTTGCTGCCTCAACACCTGATGAGGAGGAGAAGGTGAAGTGGCAGCTGTGCAGGGATACACAGGAGCTCCTGACTCCATCACATGCTGCAGCCACTGCCCATCCTTTTTCCAATCATGGAAGCTCAGTGCATTTACAGCTCTCAGCATCACTGCATCAATTCCAGTTATGCAACAGAAATGTCCAAAGAAGGAAATCCTGTACCCCACTCCTTTCAGCTAAAGAGCAGCAATGAATTAATGCCGTTTTTGCTGCCACCTCAACGTGCAAAGAGGAGAGAGGCTAGCAGAGCCTTTTCTATTGCTGGAGCAGTGTGTGCTGCTCCCACCCTCGCCTCGGCTGTGCAGGGAACAGCTATTTCTAGGAAGCTGGCTGAGGGGGGTCTCAGTGCAGTGCATCTCGTTCAGCTCCCAGTGCTCCTCAAACTGAGCCACTCCTCAGGTTAAAACAAAAAAATTCATAATCCCATTTAATACAGTTGTCCTGTTATATGGAAAAGCTGCCTGAGAATATTGTCAGCTCTGTCAAAAAAGGTTTCAAGAAGCTCTCGGATTCTTACCAGTAGATCTGCACTGCTGACATGGGGGGTTGGAGGCCTTTATCTGCCTCCACTAGGTTTCTCCCAGGCTCTTGAATTTATGTGTAGAAGAAGAGTCCTATTCTTTTTGCATCTAGTGTTACCTTAATGAAAGCACCAGGCACATCTCTGTAACTGTTTAGATTCATGAGTTCTGTTTTGTGGATGAGAGAACAAGAAGGAATTATTTAACATTTCATAATCTGTTAATTAGGCTAAATTTTGTTATTGAAAGCAAGGCTTTCCTATGTCTAGTCTGTGAGCAGCAAGGGCCAAGGAAAGCAGAAAGTAGCTCCAAGCAGGTACGAGCAAAGCTCTAAGCTCTGCCGGGCTGTCTGTGCTAAGCGTTTTATGTTTTCTGTGTGCTTGTGTGAATGTACACAGACATCTGGGAGGAGAAATAAAGCCCAGCTGGCAGGTCAGCTGTGTGCTGAGCTGTGCTCCCGGACAAGGCAGGGATGCTGCTGCCCTCTCCTGGCATGGCCTCCCGCGGGAACACCATGGATGGTGTTCCAGGCAGTGCTCAGGGTGGGCTTCCAGCTGTGCAGAAACCCTGGGGACATCCTCTGTCCTCTTCCCTCTAGGAATTCCTTGAAATGTTTTGCAGCTCAGGGTGCGGTGTCACTGTGCAAGCTCTGATAAATGGACTTTTGACAATAGTTTTGGTTTTCTTTCAGCCTTCAATTAGGACAGTGAAATAAATGGTAGGTTTGTATCTGACTCTGGCTGTTCTTTGGTCCAGGAAATGCTGTAGCCCTGTGACAGAGGGGTGTTATGTATTGTCACAACATTCAGCCATTTTATTGCTTCTGGTAAAATGAGTCCTTTGGAACACAAATGAGCCATTTCCACAATAATCTGCAGGCAGATGTACTTACTGCCTCTCAGCTAATGAGATGAGAGGTACTTTGTTCTCAGCTGCATCTGGATTTCTGACAGCTCTGCAGCCCTGGTGGGTTCAGTGGAGGAGATGCTCAGCACACACTTGGATACTTCACCCTTACAGGAACCATTCAGTCATGCTGCCTTGCCATGAGCATCTCTCAGCAGTGAAATATGTCTGGTATAATGCAATAGCAGTGTTCCTCTCTCTATTTTAATGTTCTGTGTTTTACTGGAAAGCACTCTGAGGAAAATCTATATTTAACAAAGATGCACTTGGGAGCTGATATTTTCAGTATGGAAAAGAATTATGTTTTAAATGTGAATGTTATAGCTGGTGAATTCTATGCAAATTATTCTTATTTAATACTTCTAATACTTTTTCTTGTAAAATGCTGGCTTTCAGGTGGAATATCAATGTGAAGGCTTTTTGGAAAAGAATAAAGACACCGTTTATGAAGAACAAATTAGGGTCCTAAAATCAAGTAAGGTTAGTATAAGGATTTTTTTTCTTTTGCAGTTAAGAGTCCTTGAATTAAGGGTCATAGAAAACTTCTTATAAACCTAGGAAATATTTCTCCCTTAGTATCAGATACACTGAAATGGAACATAGTTTGTGTTTTACTTGGTTATCTGTATGAATTTAGACAGTCCTATATCCTAACTTTTTTCCATTTAAATCAGTCTATTTAGCCACTAATTGCACTGTTTGTGGATCATTGTTGCTTTTTTGGGGGGCTCTTTTGTTTGGTTTGGGTTTTTAAGTGGGGTAAAGGGGATTTGGGGAGGAGAGTTTATTTTTCACAGAACTTAGCTATATTTTCTGTAGAGATGTCAATGGCTTCTGATATAGTGTAGTGGTATAAGAAGGCTTAACAGTTAAGCCCTAATTTTATAACCTGAAAACAGAAGCTCATTGTTTATGGCGTGACAGAAAATTTCTGAAGGAGAGACAAGATCAAAATGAGAGAGGAATAAAATATATAAACTGTAAGGACACAAACCAGAGCTTACAATCTTGTCTCCTTGATGTCTATGAAAGAAAGATAACTTCTGAATTGAAAAATACTGCATGAAGGAATATTGTAGAACAGGCTTTCAGTGGCATCATCTGTGTTTTGTAATGGCAGAAATGCTGGTTGTGCTCTCAGAAATGTGAAGGCAATTAACTTGACATTGCACAGTGGTGGCTGTTGGGAATTTGCTGGCTCTAATGGCCCAGGAAGCTGGGTATCAAGGACAGGCTATTTAAAATTATGCCATTCTATCAGGAAAACCAACGTTTTTCTCTTCTGTTTCTATTCTGAGCAGATAATGTGAAGCTAAATGATTAAAACATGTGGTATAATGAAACACCACAGCAGACTTTGCACTGGGAGAAGTATTGAAGTGGTTTAAGTGAAGCCAGTTTCTGGGGGTGGAGGGGGAGGCAGGTGGCATCTTTGGGGAGCTGGCAGAGGCCAGCCAGCCACTCTGTGCAGGACAGAGGGACAGGCTGCTCCATGGGATGACAGACAGAGGGGACAGAGCTGTTGTGAGAGCCTGACAGCAGCTTGGGCAGGCTCAGTATAGCTTGGACATTTTGGTCTAAACACTGAAAAACAACATGGTTTTACTCTGCAGTAAATTTTGCCAAAACCGGTGTAAAGAATGTTTTATTTTTGTTTTGCATCAGTGCCTTTTTGTTAGTAATTGTAGTAGAACTGCATTTCTGATTTTTATTTTATTTTGTTGGTGGTGATGTTTTCTGGGTTTGCTGTGCACATCCAACAGAAGGTAATTCTAAATTGAATGTATCATCTGTCATCCTGCCCATGCCCACTCTCACACACAGCTTGGATGCTTCTTGCTCTCCAAAGTGCATGACACCCTCTGCTCTTGGCAGGGACTGTAGAGCTCAACTATTTATTTTGGCCTCTCTAAATCCACCCACAGAACCTCTGTGAACTAGTTTAGTTTCCATGCATGTATCATGAAAGCAATAGAACAATCCTGGGCTTTTATGCTTGCTACTGGCATGGTTGTTAAAATTTTCTGTTGTGGCTCTGTATTGAAAGAAATGATCTGTAAGATTGTTAGCAGCATGTGTGTTAGGTTGTCTGAAAAAATTACAGGGAAGAAATGCTTCCTTGCTTGTTTTCTATCACGTGAATTATCTACTCTTTGATCAGTGTTTTCCCTCTCTTTAAACACTCCTAGTGTTCTGAAAAACAAAGAAAATTGATGAGGTACTAAAACCCTAAACCAAACAGGAGTAGTCCCACAGTTTAGATCATTGCGGCACTGCTCCACTATTGCTGACCTGTACTGGAGAGGCCAGACATTGTTCCTTTCTTCTACTTGGAGTAACTGGGCCAGTGTCTGTGAAAATAGTGCCTTTGATATGCACTTGCCCATTTTTACAGGCAGATTTTCCCAGGGCTGGAGGAATTGAATGAGACTCAGTATGGACAGCTTAGAAGAACTCCATCTGCAGTTGAGACAATGGGAACCCTGTTCCTACCCCCACCTGAGGTGTGTGGGAGCATCAGGAGCTTCAGAAAATCATATTATATTAAAATAAGTCTCTGTGCAGGCTGAGAGCACCTGGCTCTGTAGCTCAGCTGCCTGTGCACACCAACTCACTGCGTCTTAGGCAGCTGACAAGGAGGTGCCACCCAATCACCCTCAGATCTGTGTTCAGTCAGTGGGAGGAGAGGAGTAAAGCACCCTCAGGAAATGTCCTTCTTCCACCAGCTCAGGTGAGATCAATCCAAGCTGTGATACTCCTTTTTAAGTTCAGGAATTTAGGGTACCTTTGTAGCATCCTTTGTCATTTTGGTGTGCTGGGTGCAGCTGGGGAACATTTGATGCCCTTTTCCAGCCCATCTGGCTGAACCACAGGGCACAGGTGCCATGTTGTTGTGCACCATTGTGTTCCATTGGTTATTGTATCTGCTCCCCAAGCTTTAGAAAATCAATTTTTAATTATTTTTTTTGTTGCAGTTGGCCCAAGCGCTTTCTAGTACTGAAAAAATGAATGTTCCTGTCTCTTGAGGAAAAATGCACAGATGCTAGATATAAAATTATTCATGGGCAGGTAGAGAGGTTCAGATTCTCTTACTCTTGTAATGGTTCTGAAGAGCTGTAGTTGTCAGTAGAAAGACCTGGTGGTGCTATTTTTAGTTATGAGTTGCTTCAAAGCAGCTGTTATGGATCAGTATATTTTGTAGCCATTAGAGAAAGGGAAGCAGAGGTCCTGTGTGGTGTTGGAAGGACATTTCAGGTTTTTCTTCCACTCCCACTGGCAGGGAGTAGATCTCAGTCAGATAAATTTGGCTAGTGGGTTTTTTTTCAGTTGATGGTTCCTCTGTTAAGCTGATTATTTCAATTTGGAGTGATAAAGCAGGAATCATCTTTGCTGCCTGCTGCTTTATTCAGTGTCCCAGATATCTCTCAACCACAAAGGAGACTGATGCACCACTGGAATATGAGAGGACCCTGTTGTTTCCTTCTTAGATCAGAGCAGCCATTAATTGCAACTAGTACTTAGGAAACTGCTGTTGGTATCTAACAGTTTCACATGGCTATTGTTGGCTATATGAGAAAAAAAATCAGAATTTTATCTTGAGAAGGAGACTCACTGATCAAACCCACAAAAGTTTTGGTATTAAATCATGGCCCACTCACTATACCACTCAGCCTGTCTGCTTTTTGCATTTGTCCCCTGTGAAGTTCACCAAAAATGCAGTTCTTACAAAAGCTGAGCCTGGAATTTAACCTTAAGCACAAACAGGTAAAACTGCTGGCTGTGTTCTTACCCTCTGTGTATTTTTTCTGCTGTTACACCAGTTTAAGCTGCTCCCAGAGTTATTCCAGGATGAGGAGAAGGTGCTCAGCCCCACATCAGCTGCCCCTTCAGGGCGCGTGCCTCTGTCTCGAATGCCTGTCAAACCTGCCAAGGCCAGGCCAGGGCAAGCCAGCAAGGAGCATAAGAAAACTGTGGGACATCAGGTGAGTTTGAAGATGCAGCTCTGTCACATAATGTCTCCCTTTATCTCCTTTCTCATAGGTCTCAAAGTGTGCTCATGGGATCCCTTGTGATTTTGAGAGAGGTGCAGCTTATTGCTACTTACAGCTTGGTGCAAATAGTCCCTAATTACTGAGGCACTGTGGGGAGCAGTTTGAGGCAGCCCATTTTTATCATGGGCTAATGCTTTTCAAAATAAATTTAATGTGGATGTTGAGAAGTTTGGAAAACCTTAAACTGGGTTTTTTGGATCATGTGCCACTTTGTCTGATTCAAATCCAAGGTGGGGTTCAATCCCCAGAAAACTTGGTTCCAGTTATCAGTAGCCAAACATAAAATATCTGCATATCTTTGCCATAATTAAATTAAAAGTATGCAAATGAGGTTGTCTCAAAGATGACTGAGCTTGTTGAGGCTATTCCCTGACTTTTTGTTTTCTTTTTCTTTTTCAAAAAGTTTCGAAACTCTCTTCATCTGCTGATGGAAACCCTGAATGCTACAACTCCACACTACGTGCGCTGCATTAAGCCAAATGACTTCAAGTTTCCTTTCACGTAAGATGCCAGTTCCTGTGGGGTTTGAGGAGCCCGTGTTGGCAGGGGATTGCCCAGGGCCACTGGGCATCAAGGCTCTGCTGAACCTTGCTCACTCAGGAGTGAACTGCTGTGTCTCCTTTCTCTGGTTATGGATTCACTCTGTGTGTGTGTGTTACAGCAGGAGATGTTTGGGGATGAATAGAGGGAGAAAGACTTCCTGATGCCATTTTTTTGTTTATGGTGATACGTGAGATAAAAATTCCAACAGTTTCATTGCTAGCAATTTTAAATGTAACTGGGGTTTGCTCTCCTTGAGCTCCTTTGACAGTTGCTGGAATTTGATTTTTCAGGTTCCAAAGCCTTTTTTTTTTTCAGCATGCCTTTGTATATTCTCAGTTTTCCCTCAAAGGAGTACTACAGCCTGTAGACATAAAATATTATTCTCTTTCTGGTTCAGTTCTGAAATTTCAGATGTGTTTGAGCAGCAGCGTGCTTTGTTCTGCCCTAGTCCTGACACAATAAGTGATTTGTACATGTCTGAAGCCCCAGCTGCTTTGTTTGCACTGTGTAATGTGGTTGAGGATGGACCATTCAGAGGGGTCAGCTACAATTTAAGTAGAAAATTGTACATGTTCACTGCCTGTATTGCTTTCATCCTCTGGGCCCCTTTGTCACCTCCTGTAGCCTTCCATGTTATTATCTTTATGGCATTATCATCTAAGCAAAAAATCTCACATTGCCCCTTTGGGCCATGCTTGTGGCCTTATTATATTAATTTTTAACAGAATCATACAGAGAAAATACCTTTCTCCACGACTTAAATTAAGTCTCAGATTACCCAAAATATTACACAGATAATTTTGCCTCTTTACTAACTGTGCTTTCATTTAGCCCTTCATGCCTTTTTTTATGCACTAACACTTAATGCCATAACTTATCCTCTTTTTACCTTTGAAAATAGGACAAGGATAAGTACCAGTTTGGTAAGACAAAAATATTTTTCCGGGCTGGTCAAGTAGCCTACCTGGAAAAAATAAGGGCAGATAAGTTGAGAGCTGCCTGTATCCGCATCCAAAAGACGATCCGGGGCTGGCTGATGAGGAAGAAGTACTTGCGGATGAGGAAGGCTGCCATCACCATCCAGAGACATGTCAGAGGGTACCAGGCACGATGGTAAGCACTGCTCAGGGCAGATGCCACACCAGCCCAGTCCAGAGCCCTGGAAGCAGGGCATTTAAATGTGATACGTTTGTTCTCGTCTTCCTATGCTGCCTGAGAGGAAATGATTTTCCAGGGAAATGAAGGAAATTGAGTATAATGGGTGTGTCTGTCCTGACTGGTTTTGACCTTTCTGAGAGGACAGTAGCACCCTGGCTCTATGATGCAGAAAACAAGTAGTACTTAGGAGATATGTTGCAGGTGAGGTAAAGCAGGACTGTCTGAGTCCTCATTGCCCAGTTTCCATGTGCCCTCCCAGCTGGATCTGTCCTGCTGGAGAAGCCATTCCTCATTTGTTTGGATTGACTTCTGAGGGATGGCCATGGGGCCAGAGAGAAGGGCAGGAATTCAGGTGGTATTGTTCAAAGAAGAGGTGGTGATGAAGGCTGTAATAACCAGCCTTCAGAAAGAGGCACATGTCAAGATGCTTTGTAATTGTCTTACTGCAATAGCCAAGAACAAGCAAACATTTTCTACTAGTGGAGGTTAGGAGAGTACCTGTGGAAGATGACATAGTGGAAACAGCTTTAAAGTTGGGGAAGAGGTGATGAGAAACTAAGCTGAGTTTACTTTGTCAATTGTATAGTGCAATTATTAGGGGAAGTGAAAACATCTCCCTGTGAAGCTTTGCAAGGTTTCTGTTAATTTGTCATTCTGTTCTACTGCCACACAGCAGAATAGCAAGTAAATATACTGTGTCACTGACAACACTAAGAAGAAACTAAAAATACAGGCTATTAAAAAAGCCCCAAGCATTCAATCACATAATTACAGGTTACTGTTTGTGATCTTTTCCTTAGCTATGCCAAGTTCCTGAGGAGAACACGAGCTGCCATCACCATTCAGAAGTTCCAGCGCATGTACGTGGTCCGCAAGAGATACCAGAGCATGCGAGATGCTACCATTGCTCTCCAGGCTCTCCTGAGAGGTTACATGGTCAGAAACAGGTACCAAATGGTAAGAAATCACAATGTAGTTTTTCACTCTACCTACATTTCCACACACTTTCAGGACAAAGCTTCTTTGTGGTGTCATCTTGGGAATCTGAAATGTTTTGTGTGCATGCTGTTAGGTGTGATGCACAGACAAAATAGCAGAGCATGGATTAAGGGACAGCACCTGGAAATTAGAAATATCTAATACTGCCATCAGCTTGTCATTGTAGACATATTCTCATTGTCATCTAATACAGGTGTACTTAGACTTTCAGTGCAGCCAGTGGAGAATCCAACAGAGATTTACAGCATTTCTGACTTTTTCACTTGTTATATAGAATGTTGAGGCATTTTAATTGAGTAATTAGAATTTGGTTTTCAGTAGTTACAGGGCTGAAAACAGAATTATATTCAAACTGCAAAGTGATAACCTGTTTCATAGCACTTTTATATACAAGAACTGTTATAACCAGGCTCAAAAGTCAGCTTGTATTTCACTGAAAAAGTAGCTGAGGGATTTGTTTTCCCAAGCATGTAAATGTTAAGGACATGCAGCCAAAAGCCATCTGATGCTTATGTACCATATTTTACTCTTTTGTATTTGGAGTTTTTATGATTTTCTTTAGTATTAAAATTGCTAAGGGTCACATGTGTAGTATTCTAACATAAACTAGCCACAAAGCTGAAAAAAAAAAACCTTGTTAAGAATTTCTTAGTAGTAAGAACCTAGTGGTTGACTTTGTGGTTCTTTTATATGGTTGTCCACTTACCTTTATATTGGAATTCTTAGCATTCTTGTTATTACAAACTATATTTGTGATATTATACAAGATGTGTTTTTAACAGTCTGACAGATGTGACGAAGTGACACCTGGGTCACAGCAGCAGGTGGCCTAAAATCTTCAGGAAGATGGGAGTTGTTTCTCTCTGCCTTGTTAGTCACATGAGTAATACACAGCCCATCTGTCTTGCAGCACAGTTTAATAAACCTGTTATATTCCCTCCTAATAGAGATGGCAGGTTTCTGGAGGAGTCCCTGGGAGGGGTGGTCAGACCAGCCTGTCAGGAGGATCCCCCTCGAGCTGTGAATTGTTCTCTGCAGTAAAACATGACAGTCTGACAAGTGCCCCTGCGGCGTGCTGTGTTTGTCTTGTCCTGCCAAGGTGGGATTTTACCCAGGCTGAGGTACAGGGTGGCCAGAGAGGGAGGCACAGGCTCTGTGTGCCGTGGGAAGGCAAACAGGGCTGTTTGGAGGTGGTGGTGATTGCAGGCGAGTGAAACCGAAAGGGTGCCCTGTGACAGGACAGCTGGGCTGAGCCTGGCTGCAGTAATGTGTGGTACACGTGTTGCTCCTTGGGATTGTGAAAGGGACCTGTTGTTGTTGTAGGAAGAGAGGGCATGTCCTGAGTCACGTGGGCAGTACAAGGAATTTAATATGGTTGAATCATCTGTTTCACACATCCTGGGGAAAGCTCCTGCCTGAGACGTTGCAATGTGCTTCTCAGCTGGACAAGGAGTTTAGTTCCTCCTTAGCTGTGACATAAGCTTTCCTGGGATATAGCTGGTAGATGAAGTGACTTTCCTGATCCTCTCACTGTACTTTGGAGCGGCCTGATTCCTCACTGGATTGCATGGATGTGAGAACTCCCTGGCAGATGAGGACCATCCCCACGCCATGGAGGTATTTTACAGGGCTTGTTGTTTTCAATCTGGAGGTGAAAACTGTTGAAAGCTAGTTGTATTCCAGTGTTCAGGCACCTGCTGGAAACCTGGAGGAGTGTTCCAGAAAATGTGTAAGGAGGAGGCAGGAATGCCAACTGCATGGCATGCAGTCAGGAGGACTTTGGCTTTTGACCTTGCAGTGCTTTTCAGGGAGCTGCTTCCTTACCTTGGTGTGCTGAGTAACTGGTGCTGGGATTTCCAGTCTCATTTTTAATTCAGAAATAAATGCTAAGGGAGAAAGTTCGTATGTATTACAGTCTTGCCACTTTGCCAGTGAATTATAAATTCATTGATCTGGAAACTATAATGCTTCTGACACATTTCAGTTCATTTGCTAAGCAGTCTAAAAGAAAATAAAATTACTGTTACCTGACTAGTTTGTCTTATCAGCTTTGTGGTAAATCAGTGTAAGAATGTGAACTGTCTATGATATTTAAACTACCAATTCTGAGCATTAACATGCAATCCTAGATAATTTTGTTCTTTAGAATAAACTATTTTATTTGCAGAAGCTTTATTAAGTGAACTCTAAAGCTGTCAAAGTACTGGAAGCCTTGTGGATTTGGGCAGGCTCTCCATGCAGATCTCATATAATCTGCTTGAATTCAGGGGTTCCAGACCTAAGGGATCTGTGATTGAATTAGTGGTGAAGGATCCAGAAACAAATGGTAGACTCTTCTTAGCTGAACTTTCAGGCTAACACACATGACTGGTTTATGTTATAGATTTTTTTAAAATAATCTGGATTTTTTTTTTTACACATCAAACCTATGGTTGAAATTTCTGCCATAAAATAAATTAGAATTATTGCACTATAAATTTCTTATTAGAATAGATGAAAATTTTTCCATGCTAACAAGCCTAAGATATGTCAAAAAAGGCAACAAAAAACCCCCAAAACAAAATAACACAAACAAACCAAAAGCTTCTGACTTCTTAACAGCTGCTATAATTTCCTCTGGGAAATGCAGTACTGACTGCATTGCATGTCAAATGTAGTAATTTTAAGCTTTGTATTGATGAACTCTATGCAGCATATGTCAATGATTCTAAAGTGTTTCAAGATAAAGATGCAGCTTAAAAAAAATAAGATTGTATTTGTAGTCTTGCCAACAGGTACTATGTACTTTTGCAATTAGCTGGGCTCTGACCTCAACACAAAGGAATGCCTGATGCTTCCATGTGCCTTCAGTTCTTTTTGTCATGTTTTTCTCTCTGGTTCCTTTTCATTTTACCCCCAGTTGCTGCCCTTGTTCCACTCTTCTTTCCCTCTTCTTTTATTTCTAATTTAAATTTATTCCATTTTGTGCTGCTCTTCCCCAGAAGTTTCTCTTTGCAGGTGAAGGTGTCCATCCTTACAGGATTCCTTGTGCCTGCCCAGGTGCAAGTTTGGAGCTCTAACTTACGTATTTTCCATGTGTTTTCCCCACTGCAGCTGCTCCATCCTTACGGGGTTCCATGTGCCTGCCCAGGTGCAGTTTGGAGCTCTAACTCGCGTGTTTTCCATGTGTTTTCCCCACTGCAGCTGCTCCATCCTTACGGGGTTCCATGTGCCTGCCCAGGTGCAGTTTGGAGCTCTAACTCGCGTGTTTTCCATGTGTTTTCCCCACTGCAGCTGCTCCATCCTTACGGGGTTCCATGTGCCTGCCCAGGTGCAGTTTGGAACTCTAACCCGCTATGTTTTCCATGTGTTTTCCCCACTGCAGGTGCTCCATCCTTACAGGATTCCATGTATCTGCCCAGGTGCAGTTTGGAGCTCTAACCTGTGTGTTTTCCATGTGTTTCCCCACTGCAGATGCTGCGGGAGCACAAGTCCGTGGTTATCCAGAAGCACGTGAGGGGCTGGCTGGCGCGGCGGCGCTACCGCCGCACGCTGCGGGCCATCGTCTACCTGCAGTGCTGCTACCGCCGCATGATGGCCAAGAGGGAGCTCAAGAAGCTGAAGATAGAGGCCCGCTCCGTGGAGCGCTACAAGAAGCTCCACATTGGCCTGGAGAACAAGATCATGCAGCTGCAGAGGAAAATCGATGAGCAGGTAAAAGCTTGTCACTTTAGGACGCGAAATAGGAAGGTGCGTAAGGTCGTGTTCGAGGGTGCCAGATGAGAATCTTGACTCCATGTTTCAGAAGGCTGATTTTTTATATTATGATATTATATTGTATTAAAATGCTATATTAAAACTATTCTAAACAGAGAGAAAGGATCCATCAGAAAGCTGGAAAGGAGCAGAAAGGAATGATAACAAAATCTTGTGACTGCTCACAGCCTTGACACAGGTGGCTGTCATTGGTCGTTAAAAACAACTTCACATGCTGGGTAAACAGTTCTCCAAATCACATTCCAATGCAGCAAAACATGGAGAAGCTGAAGCTTTCCAGCTTCTCAGGAGAAAAGATCCTAGCAATAGGATTTTTCATAAAATATGTCTGTGACAGGTGTGGACACTGGATTTTCCAAGGCACAAAAGAAGGCCATTTAATTTCTGACTCTAACATTTATAGATTTCTAATGGTGACAATGGATTGGAGGGTGAAAGTGCCTCCTCTCCAATGACACTGGACAAACTAACAGTTTATCTGATTTTTCCTCCTCCAGAAAAGAATGGAAAGCAATTAATTATTTACATAAAGTTTGTGAGAAAGTTCATTACAAAAATGTAAACATCAGAAGGCTTAGAAGAAAGGATGACACTGGGGAAACGTGTCAAAACCTTGGTTACTTTTCTTAGAACTGTGGGGATTCACAGAATGCACTGAATTTTCTTTGTAAGGGCTCAGTTCTCTTTTCTGATGAAGAACAGTGATAGGAGAGAAGGGGAGGCCACAGCAGAAGTGGAGCAGTCAAACATCCACTTGTTCCTCTCAGCAGAACTGAGAAAAACACCCACTCGCTTAACGCCAGTACTGCGTTTGAAGCACGTCAGTTGCTCTGTTTTTGGGGAAGGTGGGGTGATCCTGTCTGATGTATGTGGGCTCTCCATCTGATTTTAGTTTAGGATGTGCAGGCTTAGAGACTGGACTGTTCTGTCACCTCGTTAAGCAATTCTGCAAAACCAGACCCAAAGCTTTTTGAGATGGGGAAGCTGCTGCTGTGCTCCCATGTCTGGGTGTCTTCTGTAGGGAAGGAAAAGGCTCCCTTGAACCAGAACTTCTCAAACAGCTGCTCTGTCTGTGTTGTGTTTTGCACAGAACAAAGAGTACAAATCCCTGCTGGAGAAGATGAACAACCTGGAGGTCACATACAGTACGGAGACGGAGAAGCTGCGGAGCGACGTGGAGAGGCTTCGGATGAGTGAGGAGGAGGCCAAGAACGCCACCAACCGTGTGCTCAGCCTCCAGGAGGAGATTGCCAAGCTCCGCAAGGAGCTGCACCAGACGCAGTCGGAGAAGAAGAGCATCGAGGAGCGGGCAGACAAATACAAACATGAAACGGAGCAGGCACGTATGGGGTCTCAGATGCATGAGAGGATTTGCCTCCTGTCCACTCAGGTTTTGCCCAGGCTTAATTGTTTCAGTCCAATCAGTTGTGTGGCTGGTATTTGCACTGTGTTTTTGTGGCTGTACCATCCTAAAGAGGCTTGGTATCTAAATGGCTACACCTGTGGTAGTGAGATATGCTAAATCCATATATTGTATGTAAATATATGTAGCCAATCTATTCAGATTTTGATATCAAAAGCATTTGCAAAGCCAAATCCTTGAACTTTCTGACTTAGTCAGAGGTAGTGAATTCATTCATTTTAACTACCTGGAGAGAGTAATCACATAGATAGCAGAAATCTGTCCCACATTCAGTATTCAAAGGTGCTGCTATATCCTGCCTAATGTAGACAGCCAGCCTATTCAACACATCTGCACATTCTAGTTCAACAGGTTTCAGCTAACCCCTTTTCTTTGCTAACCACAAACATATCAAACAGGTTGATTTCTGTCAGGAGTACTTGCTGATAATGGTGGAAGTTTGAGTATTGGTAGAGCCAATCCATCATTATGTGATGCTGCAAGTGACAAGTTTCAATATCAGATAAGCATAAGGGAAGATATTAATAGATAAAGCAAAGTGAATGCATGGTAACCATAATCAGAGACAAATGAGTACCTGGCAAACCTGAACACAGGTTAAGTGACACAGCTTTAGGGCAGAGGCAACATGTTAAATGTTGGTGTTACCCAATGCAATGGAATTTACTGTAGAACTACCAAATGTGTTACTATTTTATGAATATTTCTGTTTTCATGAGCCGTTTACATCTTTGGGACTTCACTGAAAAATACATGGCACTGTGGAGTGCTTCAGGGCAATTTTAGTGTCTGATGAGAAACATACAGGGGAGTCTGCATATTTAAGAAGGTACATATTTAAGAAAAGTAATTTGGAAATGAAGATACAACTTAGTTCACCAGTTCCACTTTGTGACGAACAGTTTAAGTATTTCAACTTTTGTTATAACAAGATGCCATTGTTGTTAGAGCTACTGCTGAAAGATGAACTGCATTCTGAGTAAAATATTTTATTGTCTCTGTAGCTGGTATCAGAGCTGAAAGAGCAGAACTCATTACTGAAAACAGAAAAGGAGGAGCTGAACCGTCGCATCCATGACCAGGCGAGGGAGATAACAGGTTGGCTCTGTTCTCCTTATTCAGGTTCTCTACTTTGTGTTACCTGGCCAAGCAACACTCCACTGCATAGATTGGACTAATTTGACTTAGTTTACATTCCTTTTTGTGCACTCAATTCTTTTTTTTAAGAACTGACAAACATCAGAATTATCTCCCATTTGAATTTCCACAAATTCCTAAGAGTTCAGGGCCTTTTTTAGGGGGGCTGACTGTTCCAAAGCACTTCAGTTTTTAAAAGGCAGCTCTGATATTTAATACAGTTTATCCATGACAACTTTTCTGGCTGCTGTGATTGTGTAGGCAGCAGCCAGGAAAGCTGAACTCTAGATGTGAGGGCTGTGTTGAAGGGAGCTGTGATGAGGATGGTCAGAATGCTTGAGGTGTAAAGCATTTTGCTTTTACATAGCACAGCAGTGGGCTAGTGCTCCTTCTTCCTCCCTCCTGGAATCACCTCTAGAATGTATTAGCAGAATAAATAACTTGTCTGAGTGAGCCCTTCTGTGGTTGCCACAATAATGCTTTGGCCCTTCATATTTTTGGCTTAATGCTGGCCCAGAGAATCACAAACACCAGCGTCAAACGGCAGGCTGTTCCTCTGGTGCAGACAGGCCTGCACCTCCTGCACGGATGCACTGCATGGTGGGTAGGGCTGGAATTCTCACACTTGGAATCCCTGCTGTCTGTGGCAGAGTCGATGGAGAAGAAGCTGGTGGAGGAGACGAAGCAGCTGGAGCTGGACCTGAATGATGAACGGTTGCGGTACCAGAACCTGCTGAATGAGTTCAGCCGCCTGGAGGAGCGCTACGATGACCTCAAGGATGAAATGAACCTCATGGTGGTAAGTGGCTCTACAGCTGAGAAACCAAAATCTGTTTGCACCTGTTCAGGTAGAGTCTAGTGGGATAAGTTGGTAAGTGCTGTCAGCTGTATGTGTTGGTGCCTGTACTTGAAAGGTAAAAAAAAAAAGTCACAGCTGTGAAGAAGGCTAAATTTCTGCTGTGACTTTCCTGGTGGTATTACTTGTGCTGTCCACCCTTATTTTGCCCTCAAGTTATTCACATCTGCTGGGGTTGTTTGCACCATCTTCATCCAGTGATAAATTTTAAGTAGTCCTAGGAATTTTCTGTGTGGCAGGAATATAAAGTATTCCTCAATAGAATGTGTAGGAAGTTAAAAAGTTGCTGTCTGTGCTTCCTGTAATCTGAGTGTTTCTTTCCCACAAAGTGCTGCATCCTTGCTTCGTTCTGCTTTCTGCAGCAATCCTGGGTGGTGTAAGATCTGGTCTGTCTCCATGGAGTTGGGTGCTAACTGTATCTCATAGGCTTTTAGGTCTCTGGAGAGACCAGAGTCAAAAATATTTTCTTAATAATTTTGATAACCGTGACATAATACCAAATATTATAAGCTAAACTAAAGGTTGTGAAGAGAGAGTCACAGGGAAAAACCATATACTGGTACTGATTTGTTCCACTTGCACTTCAGAGCATCCCCAAGCCTGGGCACAAAAGAACGGACTCAACTCACAGTAGCAATGAATCTGAATATACTTTCAGCTCTGAGATCACAGAAGCAGAAGACTTACCACTAAGGATGGAGGTAATGTTAAAAATCCCCCACAACTTTTCACTGATACATGGTTGAACTCATTCCTTTTTATTTTTTTTTTAATAAGTGCTTCTGAACACCATATCATCATATTGAGATATGTAAAGCTTCAATCCAACTTTCTCCATTTTGTTTTAGAGAACACTTATTCCTTATTTAGTTATGATCCTGTGTAAAAAGACTGTCAAAGTGTGCTTTGAATTTGTCTTGTATTACAGTAAGCGTAGAGTAGATACTTGGTGATCCAGCTGATTTACATCTGTGAAACATTTGGTTGTCAGTGTTGGTAAGCACAATCACTTATTCAGGCCAAAATGGGAATTCAGAGAATCAGTGAGACTTCCTGAGGAGTCTGCCTACTGTATCATCAATGATTTAAAATGGCAAGCTGCATCCTTAGTAGCTACATGGAATGAGTTTCCTGTTAGGCGTGAGAAACTCGTGTTGGATCAGGTTTTCTGTATTTCACAGAGAGGAATGAAACTCCCAGGATGGGTGTTTCCTTTGCATGTGCAGCAATACAAATCCCAGAGTGTTTGGAAAAATGATGAGGAAGATGTTAAAAAATGTTCAGAAAGATGACTTGATTCAGCTAATGAATAATAACCATAAATTATTTGTGGTGCAACTCCAAGCCATTGCTAATAGTTTCCAAGATAACTCCTCCTTTCAGCCCATCCCATCACAGTGGGACTGCAAAGAGAGAGCCCTCAAGGTGGAGGTCTGGCTGTGCTTGGCACTTTCCTGAGTTAAAGTTTTCTCTGTGCATCTCCTTAACTGTGAGCCAGGCACAGCACACCCTGTGTGCCCTCTGCCTGGGTTAAGGATCTGCAGAGCAGCTTTTGGCAGGCTGTCAGTGCTGCTCGGAAAGCCTCCACAGAGAATTATTTTCTCCTCTGGATGCAAATATCCTGACACACTGGGGCTGGCACAGCCTCTCTCTGCACTCTGTCATCATTTGCCTTCCCACTTAGGTTTCTCACCTTGCATAATGGTTTCAGGATGATGCTCCTACATTCACAGGAAATCAGGAGAAGGACAGTGCATGGGATGTCACATGTGAGCCAAATGCCAGCTTTTCCTTTGGCTGATAGACTTGCTGAATTGCTGTTCCAGAGCCAGCTTTGGGTTTTAGACTATAAATGAAGAAATTAACTCATGCAAGAGTGTGAACGAATGCAGCATTGTTTTTGTTTAACCCCTCAACATTGTCCAATTCTGACTCTAAACTAAAAATATAGATTAATTGTACAAAACCAGTTTAAAAAATTGGGCCCACCTCAAGGCAAACAAGTAAGTCAGAAAACTCAAAAGTCTCTTTCTTTTTGCCTGAGCTGTTGGTGTGGTTTATGACTCTTCCCCTCAACAGTAAAAGGAGATGAAGTGGAAATGGCTGTGCTTGCTTGTCTTCTCATGCAAGAATGTGAAGGAATGCAGCACTGTTTTTGTTTAACCCCTCAACATTGTCCAGTTCTGACTCTAAACTAAAAATCAAAAGTCTCTTTCTTTTTGCCTGAGCTGTTGGTGTGGTTTATGACTCTTCCCCTCAACAGTAAAAGGAGATGAAGTGGAAATGGCTGTGCTTGCTTGTCTGCTGCAGTCATTAATATTAATTTTCTAGTTCTTTTTATAGGCTTTAAGATTTTATGGTACAGTTCATAGTAAATACTTTGATCTTCTCAGTACATAAAGTACAAAAAGGCTGATGGACAATTTCTAATGCACCTTCAGATTGCAAACACTGGTCCTTGCCCAGAAAATGGTGAAGAAGCTGGTGAATTAGGCTCAGAAACAGGCTGTATAATTAGCACAATAAAAGGAAAAAGGCAGAAAATATATTCTCTGTTACCAATTTTTTGTGTTGCATCCCACTAAATTAACCTTCAAATTGCCAGAGAGGTTTCTCTTTAGCTAAAGAACTTACTAAAGAAATCATCGAAAACTAAACCAACAAACAAAAAAGCCCTTATTTACAGTTGTTTCAGGTGAGTCTAACCACAAACTTTTTCTTTTTTCTACTTTCCCCCCTTCAAACAAGTAAGACTATAAGGTATGCTTAGTTATAGACCTTCTGTCTGCTAGGTAGTGCCTAGTGCTTTCTTTTGCTAGGCTTTAGGCTTAGAAACATTTTCTACTAGTAAATCCTTTTTTAAAATAGTATTTGATAGCTGATGAAATATTTTAGATAGTCAACGCTCAGAATCAAGTAACATTTCTGTGTTCCTCTCCTTCCCCAGTCTATTTCCCATCTTTACTCACTGCTGTGCTTCCTTGTGGTGTGGAAGGGGAATACCTCTTGACTTCCCTCTGTTGTTTCTGCAGCAGGAGCCTAGTGAGAAAAAAGCAGCGCTGGACATGTCTCTGTTCCTCAAGCTGCAGAAACGGGTTTCAGAACTGGAGCAAGAGAAGCAGTCCCTGCAGGATGAGCTGGACAGGAAGGAAGAGCAGGCTCTCCGTGCTAAAGCCAAGGTGGACTCCTTGCAGCTGATCAAATGCTGACACCAGAGTGTCCCTTCTTGTGAAACAGTAGCTCTGTGAATGCTGACTGGCTTTCACTAAATCTTCATCTTCCTCTAGCACTTGCTTTGTTTAATGATGAGTTTCATACTGGTGCTTAGTTCTAGGGACTGGTCATTTAGTTTTTCAAAGTCCTGGAGGTCCTCTGATGGAAGACCACAGGAACAAAATGTGCTTGGGACTTTGCTTAAAAAAAAAGAAAAGGCTGAAAGACTGTTTTTATTAAGGAGTAGCCATAAAGAAATCTACTTAAATGATGGGGAGAATGGGTTAATTTTAGGCAGAAGAAGTGTTTCAACCAGGATGCCTAGCCAGAGCACTGGGCTTAGACACCTTAGCTGACTGTAATGTAAATTTGCCTAATTTGGTCTCCTTAAGTTCTTAAAAAATTATGAAAAAAGTATTGGCAATTGTTTCTTATTACATTTTTACCAGTGAATTTCTTTAACATGCTGGGGTTCATCCTGCTGTGTTGCATTGCCAGTGACAGTATGTGATTTTATTAATGTTAACCAATTCTGTGTCAAAAACTCAAAAGTAAAGGAGACAATGCCAGTATTCAAACTACAGCAGGCAGCAGCACCAGAATGAGTGTTTTACAGTTTTTTACTCAAATAATTTGAGTTCTCTTTGTTTTCCTACCTCAGTGAAGGATTTTTTTTGTTTTCACACTTGTTTGTATTTGTTCATAGGAGGAAGAAAGGCCTCCCATAAGAGGTGCAGAGTTGGAGTATGAGTCACTCAAGGTAATTCTAAAACAGAGGTTTTTGGGGTTTTCTAGTAGGACTCTTCCTACCAATTGCATGTGCTGGCACAGAAAATTACATCAGCCCTCCTGTTTCCAAATAGTAGCTGGGGAAACTAGAACAAATATTCCCCAGCAGTCATTTCATTGAAGGACTGCTCTTTTTGAGGTATAGAACGTGTGGCTGGGGATGCAAAACAAAAAGATCCCCTAAGCCAGGGGGAGTTCTCTATTAAGATACTTAGTACAGCTTGCAAGTTAATTTGAGCAAAAATACAGTGATAAATGTAGATCTCTTTTTCAAAATCATTATTTAAATTACTGCATATCTTAGACCACTAAAACTAAAAATATTTCCTAATAGTGATGCAGAATTTTCTTAGCCTGCTGACCTTTTTTTTTGTTTGTTTGTTTGCCATCAAATCTGTCTGATTCATGTGAGTGTGCTCTGGTTTTGCATTTCAGGCAAAAGGTTAGTCTTAGTGAACTCCTCCCAGCCACATTGACCATAGTCAAGAGGTCAGGGATACAGGGGAGATTGATGGATTTCTTGCAGCTACACATCATTTTTACCATTTCTGTCCAGTTTTGTACCTGTGGGTTACAGACATGTTGCAGTGCTGCTGGGTGACAGAACTGTCCCTGTTTTCTTGCAGCGTCAAGAGCTTGAATCTGAGAACAAAAAACTGAAGAATGAGTTGAATGAGCTGCAGAAGGCCCTGACAGAGACACGAGCTCCAGAGGTGACTGCTCCTGGTGCCCCAGCATACAGAGTCCTCCTGGACCAGCTGACCTCGGTCAGCGAAGAGCTCGAAGTACGCAAGGAGGAAGTTCTCATCCTGAGGTCTCAGCTTGTCAGCCAGAAAGAGGCAATTCAGCCCAAGGTAAATCACACTCAGCAGGGGCACTGGGTAGGAGAGTTACCCTACATCATTAACATGCTTTATTTGTTAACAGCCTGCTTGAAATTGCGGAAGAAAGTAGTCTAGGTTTGGAAACTGTTCTAAGTGTAATCCACAGGTCCATTGTTAGTACACAAATCACAGCAGTCTGAATTAGGAGTTTGTATTAATCAGCCAGTCTGGGGTTTCTCTGCCAGCACTCATGTGAAGATGTACAGGCTGTACAAAAGGTCTGATCCCCCCAGACCCCGCTAACAGTGCACAAATAATTCTGACTGGGAGCTGTGTCATTTCTCTAGTGCCTTTGGACTGCAAAATTGAAAGGAATTCTCAGGAATTCCTTTCAATTAATAGTACAGTTTGTTCTACATCTGTATGATTGCTAGTCAGTAACATTTTGTAAAGATAACATCCCCCTAGACCCCTTTAACAGTGCATAAATGATTCTCATTGGGAGCTGTGTCATTTCTCTAGTGCCTTTGGACTGGAAAATTGAAAGAAATTCTCCAGGAATTCCTTTCAATTAATAGTACAGTTTGTTCTACATCTGTATGATTGCTAGTCAGTAACATTTTGTAAAGATAACCTCTGAGGATATGTAAAATCCATATTATTGCTTGATGGGTGCTATGTGCTTTTGTAGAAAGAAGAGCAGGTTACAACCACTGAAATGCACATCACATAAAAAGCTCTGATGACATAGTTAGGGAAGTAATAGCTTTGCAAATAAGAATCATTCAACCTGAAAAGGTATCATGTAAATCAAGGAACTAGTAATTTCCACTGAACTGAGCTATCCTGTCTTTCATAACTGCAGCAAGGAATGAACAGATATGTCATCTTTGCTGCTGCAAAGTTATGTCTTTATTTGTCCTAAGTAAACTGGGAATCTGTGGTGCATGAAGATGTGTAAGTCTTGTTTTAAATGATTGACTGTAAAGAAAACAGACCACATTTTCCTGTAGTATTTAGAACATTGTAAAGAAATACTTAGTGAATCTTTCAATAACTTTCTCAGCGATGGTGGGATGCAAGTGTTGATTTTACAGTGGCTGAGCATGAGGGAAATAGGAAGGTGACCTGTGGGATGGCCAGCAGCCAGTTTGCAGATAGCTTCTGCTTTTCAGGTTGGGCAGCTGCAGCAAAGACATATTTTTTAATGTTTTGTTTCTCTTCTTTCTTGCCTACCAATTTGATTGCCAGGAGGATAAGGTACACATTTTCTTCTACAGTTACAAACCAGAGTTTCTAAATGCTAAAATAACCCTCAACAATATTGAGCTGTCATTAACCTGCCTCTTAAGTAGCCTACATTTACATCATGCATTTTATCTTGCTATTATTGAATAACTTTTCCCTTGATTCTGTGACCTCTGCATCCCCATTTTCATGCTTTGCACAGGAGACAAGTTAATTCAAAACAAGCAGATTTAACAGTTTTGAACTGTTGGTTTATGGCAACCTGAATAGGAAAGGAGGGATTTAGGAATTGGTCTAGTCAGCTCCATCATGTTTCTTGCTGAGTATGTTTGAGGGGTAAGGGCAGTGATCCAGGGAGCATTGTGATCTGGGAACCAGCCCTCTGTTAACTTGCAAAACCCCTATGTTTCACAACAATTTAAGTGTCTGTGGTATGAAGAAGTACCTTACTTTAGAGTGTTTGCTGTCCTCAGCAAGCAAGAAACATTGTGGGCTCACATTGTCATCTCTAGATATGGATGGGAATTGCTGAATGTTTGATTAGGAAATTTACTTGTATACGTGTAAGGGTATAAAAAACTGATCTGACTCTAAATTATAGATGTTCAGACTGCTGAAGCTTGATAGATTGGCAGGTGAGATACAGCAGTGTTACTCTGTAGTAAAATAATAGTAGAAAAACCTCAAAGTTCTCATAAAGATGTTTGGAATAATTCTTTGAGGAGCTTACATATTTTATTGTTTTTCATATTGGATAACACAAATCATACTAGACATAGAGAACTAGGCTCCATCATTTGTCCTCAAAGCTGTTATTGTAAATACTTTTCAAAATTGTGCTCATGAAAACAGCATCTGCTTGTTTTGAAAGTCAAAATGTTAGAATTCCATCTCTTGTGTTCATTAAAGTCCTGTGGTACTCCATGGCAATGACTCAGATCAGACTGGCCAAGGTGACTATAAACAGCTTAAGTATTTCAAGTTTTACTGAAGAAAAAGCAAAAGTGTCATAATAAACATCCAAAACTGAAACAAAATGGTACTATGATGCTATCTAAAGTAGAAAATCTCAAGCCCTTGTCAATTCTTTTCTGCTTTGACAGAGTATTTAAAATACATGAGTGAGAAATAGTTCTTATTTTTGAGCTTTGAAAGACTCCATGTAATGCTATGTTTAAGAAATGTTAATAGAATTAAGCTGGCAAAGTTATGCTGCGTCAGTTTTAGTATTAGCAGCTGTTCCTGATAATTTGAATAAAATGCAAATTCAACATTCTGTGAAATTTATTTTGTTCATTTTATGTGATGAACAAATGGAAAGAGGTTAACATATGTACTCACTTACTGTAGGAACCCAGGACATTCCTCTGGCTGCCCTGGCTGACTCGAGCCCCTGGCAGGGGGCTCAGAGACCTTGGCACACAATCAAAAACACCTGTGGCTTTGATTTTAGGCCATGGAACAAACTACCAGCTTTATGTGAAGATTTACAAGCCACGAGAGTTTAAGTAGAATGATAGCTAATTTGTCACAGGGTGAAATGTTAGAATTTTGGGGGTTTAGAATGGGGATTTAGGAGGCAAGATGGAGGAATCTGGGTGTGGTCTGTCCTTCTTCTCCTTCTTCTTGGCCTTCATCATCTGCTGTGATGGTGGCACTTTTGGATTGGTTTAGACTAGAGACAGACTGTCTAATATAGGTGATAGGTATTGGAAAATTATTGTAAATAAAGTACACGTAGTTTTTAGTATAAAAAGATAACACCGCCCCAAGGGCGGTCAGTCTGCCGCAGACCGACCTGCCAGACAGACCTCCACATGTTGGAGAAAGAATATATTAGATAAGAGAAAATAAACAACCTTGAGAACCAGAGCCGAGGAATTCCAACTCCTCCTTCGACCATCGGGCTGGGAAAAAGGGACTTTCTGACATCTCAGGGTCATCTCGACCTCAGAGACTCCAAGAACTTACTAGACAGACCAATAGTTGACAGTTTTGTAGGCATTAATTTTAAAAGGTAAACCAAATGGACCCAGAAATTATGGACCAACCTCTTGCTCAGGTACCCACACTTATTTAATGTGGCTACTCAAGTATTAGTGTTGCACATGAAGAAAACATGGATTCAAGGAGCAGTTATGTTGTTAAATTTACTGGAAATTATCATTCTTTTTCCAGCATACAATGACAGATGCCACAATCCTCTTGGAGGATGTACAGAAGATGAAAGACAAAGGAGAAATAGCCCAGGCATATATTGGACTGAAGGAAACAAACAGGTATGGGTTCTTTATTTTGTGATCACTTGGGGTCTGCTGTGACACACTGTGTATATTGTGTTGAGTCAGTTCCATCCATGTGTGTCTAGAGAACACTCATAGCTGGGGTTTTAATTTGATTTCATTAGTAAAATTGTAGTGTGCAGTATTGAAAGGATTTGGAAATAATGGGGAAATGTAAAATCCAGCTTTCTGGATTTCCATCTTCTTAGCCTCTAATTGCTGCGTGGCCCAGCCTGGGTGCCATTCCCCAGGCTGGTTTGTCACCCTCTGAACCTCAGTGGTCACAATAGTCTGTGGCAATGTGTTTATTGTAACAGCACAGAATGCTGTAACCCGCTGGGCTGTCACTGAGAGCTGAATTTCATCATGCAGAAGAAAAACACATAAACAAGAAAAGTAATTAGCTAATTTTAGAGCTTTTTGTTTCTCTTTTATGGTAACTGTAATATAGTGTGTAATGTCCTTGCCATGTCACCTCATCACCATCACATATATCTCTTGTATTTTTTTAAACACCTTTCTTGAAAGGCAATCTCCCCAGGACTATCATATGCTGAATGAGGACGGAGAACTTTGGCTGGCTTATGAAGGGTTAAAACAAGCCAACAGGTTACCAGACTTCTCAGAATGTTTTGTTTTTTTTCCTGCATTTGCATCTTCTTTTCTAGCTAACTGTGCCCCTTGCTATGGGTTTGCTTTAGCTACAGTACTTCTATTGCTTTAACAGTAAGAAAAAAATTCAACACAAATAATTAGAAATTAAGGAGTTTCCTCAAAGCTTCCTACTTGTCAGGTTTTATAATTTAAAAAGTTTAAGATGGCACAACAGCCAATACGTAATTCATAAGAATTCTTGCACAAAAGTAGACTGTAAAATTCCAGAAGCTCCACAGCTGGAAAGTATTTGTAGCCATGTACTATTTGTGTGCCTTTACTCCAGGTTTCAAAATTGATGTTCCTTACAGTTTTTCAGCCTAAAGAAGTACAATCATTTTAGTAATTATTAAACTATTGTTTAAGTAGCATCAGTGTACTCCTAAACTTCAAACTGAAATGGGTCTTACTCTCCTTGTGTCTCAAGGTCAGTAAATCAAACATTCTTCTCCCATGTCTCTTCATGCCAAATTCAAACTGTAAGTCACAAAATAACCACAAAAGAGAAGTAATCTTTAGTTCCTCAGGGTGCTGTTGAAGCCCCAGTGGGACCACTGTGGTCTGTGCAAGGACTGTGCTGGTCATGGGGTGCTCTGGCTCTGTGTGCTCGTTGGTGTCCCTGACTTCCAAAACGCTTCCTAGTCCTGCCCTGACACCTAATTCCCTGCACCAGCCCTCTGGGGTGCCCCAGTGAATGCATTTGGTAGCAGTGACTACAGAAAGTGGTATTTTGCAATGACTGCTATAACTAAAGTCTTTCCTTTTCTGGTGCTAACACATTCTACCCCTAACGTTGTTGTGTAACCCTGTGAAGATCTAACCTAGAGCAAGTGTTCTGCAGCAGACAGGATGGGAGTTGGTTTGCTCTCTTGCCTCTTTTCCTGGCACTGTAAAGACAAGAAGTTTTATATTAAATGGCAGAGCATTGCAGGTGAATGACTGTTTGCCCTTGTGTGCTTCATCAGTCTGGTTACTAATAAGTGTTCCTGCCTTATGCATATTTAAACCCTGAAATATTGTCTAATTGAACACCGGTAGTCACTAGTGTTGTCATTTCCTGTGTATGTACAAAATTATGAGTCAGAGCCCTTGGACAGTGCCTTGCAAGCAGGAGTGGATCCCCCAGCACTGCCTGGCAGGAGGATGGTACGTGTTATCCCCACTTCACAATGAGAAAAACTTGAGATGTGATGTGCCCAAGGGGAAGGAACAAGTTAGTGGTGAGGGTAAAGCTCCTGGATTTCAGTCCTGAGTCTGATTCTGTTGTTGACCTTTTATGCATTAAGGACAACCCTCTGAAAAATGTTGGGTTTAATGCAAAAATAAAGATTATCCACGTGCATTTGCAATTAAATGGTTTCTGACTGAAAAAGTTAACTCTAAAAATATTTTCCACTGTTAATGTTGCAATGTGCTAACTTACATGAACATAGTGTCATCTTCATCTGGGAATATTTGATTTGTTTAGAGGTAAAACCTCTTTAAAGCCCCTTCAGTCAATCTGAGAAGACTTAACTTCACATTTATTGCCACAGTGGCACCCTGTACAGTCAAAGGAAATGCAGGGCAGTGTCACAATTAGCTTCTCTCTCTTCACTTTTTGATCATGCAAGCTTAATTTAATTAGAAGGCATACTAAAGGGTTTAAAGAGTACTCTGCCTTTTTCATTTTCCTTTGCAAGCCATGGCTAATTGTTCCTGAGCAGCAGCTAAAGCTTTACACTCCCTCTGAGAACCGGGGATGTAACTTCGAGCGTGCTCACACAAACTGTTGCTCACCCTCCTCAGGCTGCTGGAGTCTCAGCTTCAGTCGCAGAAGAAGAGCCACGAGAACGAGCTGGAGTCGCTGCGAGGTGAGATCCAGAGTCTGAAGGAGGAAAACAACCGGCAGCAGCAGCTGCTGGCCCAGAACCTGCAGCTGCCTCCCGAGGCGCGCATCGAAGCCAGCCTGCAGCACGAGATCACCCGGCTCACTAATGAGAACTTGGTAAGAGAAGGGAGGCTGCAGGAGCAGGCACGGGCACACACACACCTGCCACACCTCCAGGCTCTTATCATTTTTCAGATGGCAGCTTCCTGCCAAAAAATTGCACAGGGGTGGTGGTTTTCTGGAGGGTAAGCTAATGGGAGAGAGAGGTTTGTGATTGCTCCTGAAGTAATCATGTTTCAGGAGATTGGTTTGAAGTTTGGGGCATGGAGGAAGCTTGTGGATCCCAGCTTCCAGCTGGTGAGTTTAGTCCTGGCTAAATAGAATGTTGATATCCAGGGAAGTCATAAAACTAATAATGCCAAGGAGGGGCATTATTCATATTGCCCTGAAATATGTTAGTTTGTTTATTTCATTGAAAAACTCTGATGTAATTCTTTAATTATTTGATGTAATTTATCTTTTCATTTCTCTCTTCCCTGCCTGAAGCTACACAGATAATGCACCATTTTACAAGCTCCATCTATTCAGTATGTTTTGAAAAAATAAATAGTTCCATAAAAAGAAACTTGGTTAGAAGTCACTTAGCTAGTAGCTGGTATTCCATGTGTGTACTGCACAACATTTTTGTGTGAAGGAAGGATTGGGCAAAACTCCCTGCCTTCTTCTACAAAGGAGTATGTTCACCCTTGTGAGCTACTTCATTTCTGGGGAAATCTTCCAGAGAGACCTGAGTTGGCATATATTTGGCTTGTTACTGGTAAAGGGAAGCCAAGCTACTTCAGCCAGACAAATCCTGGCTGTGAGTGTCATTGCTTCCTCCAAACAAGCCAAGGTGTAGTGTTTCCTGTTAATGTACATGACAGAAGTTATCACTGTTGGGTTCTTGTCTTAATACCAAAGAGTTTGAGCAAAGTATCAGATAATTCAGCTGATACATGTTAGAGAACTGGCTAAAAGTGTAAGTTTGCCCCAGCATCTGCAGTCTCTCACAAAGGTAGATGGCAAATATTTCTGTCTCAGCAGCTCCCTCCTGCTGCTTAGTCATATGTTACAATTTTTAGCCATTTTTCCCCCAGAGACCTACTCATCACATTGTGTTCCCAAGACAACAAACAGTCATGTAATTATATCCCAGAGGAGTTCTCTTTGTTTTCAAATACACCGAATGTAATTTTACTTGTTAAATATAGACTCGTTCCTCAGTATTTCATGTCAGATGTTTGAGTATTGCAAGTCCACTCCAAGCCAAGGGTATGTTTCAGTTCCACTCTTAGCCCTGGAGTGGAAACAATTTGCAGTTTTCCAGATGCCATGTCAGAATTGTAGTGTTCACTGCAATCCCATCTTGATTAGCATAAGAAAATGTGCTGTCCCTGTTCTCACAAAGGTTGTATTCCATGCTTTCACAGTCCTGGTACAGCCCATTTTTAAAAGATCTGACTGTTCTGCAACTCACCTACATCAGCTTCTCTCTGAGAGCTGCTGGCATGAACACAATTAAGGCCTAGACTACCTAAAAGCAGAAGATTCTTGATCTTGTTGTATTCTGATTTAATCTGTAGAGTGCTCACTGAAGTTTCAGTGGCTTGGAGGGAGGGAGAAAACCAATCCTGTCCCTATTTTTGCAGTTTTATGAGGAGTTGTATGCAGATGATCCCAAGAAGTATCAGTTGTACCGGATTTCCCTTTACAAGAGGATGATTGTATGTAGCTCACGTGAACCCTGTTTTCTGTTGTCTCGGTCGCTGTTTCTGAAGCACTAATTGAAAAGCAGGCTGTCTCCTTTTCTCCCTTTCAGAGGAAATCCCCCTGCAGAGAGCTTCACGATGCCAATTACTTCCTTCATTGCTTTTTTTGTTAGTCTTAGTGTCCTTTGTGTAATCTGTGTTTCTTTTTGATGCACAGTTTTGTTACTAATACGAGCCTTGCGCTGTGAGCAAAGCAGTTTCTTTTTGAATACTACTTAATACTGCCCTAGAAAAGAGGTACATGATGCAAAAGATGTTCAATTTTCAAAACTACTCTTTATTTTGAAACTTTGATACAGTTAGATTCAGTTCAGAAAATTAGAGGACTGATCATACAGATCCTTACCAAAGTGAATAATGCCAGCAATCCAGTCATAGCCTGGATTTATTCTTATTTTAATATTTTTTAGAAATGCAAAATATAAAGAATTACATTGGTGATAATATTTTCACAGTAATTAAAGACAGCACCATATGTGAGCTTGAAAGAATATAATTTATGAGTTTCCAGATTTTAATGAGATATGAAATCTGTTAAATCTGTTTAGAGGAACGATAGAAAAAACTTTATTCATTCTCACATAGAGGTTGTTCTGAAATCATATCCCATCCCTGATACATTCAAAACAGTCTGTCGAACTTACATGTATCTTTTTGTTAGTTTCAGGAGAAATTGATTTATCTGACAGCAAGTATGTAGTGTTATTAATAGGATTTCTGTTGTGAAATTGAACAGTGCTTCAGATGTGAAGCATGGTCTCCATTCTGTTGTCAACAGGCCTAATATCTTACTGCTCAAGTACATTGTATCAGCTTGTAAACTCTTTTACTGTGTGATTAAGGTTTATGCCCATGCTGCACTAAAATTTTTCAGTACTTCAGAAGAGATGTAGTTTCCCAGATGATGCTTTTGAGGCAGGGAGTTCACAATCCCTTATGTTCCTACCAGTGCCTAGAATAATCCTTGTGCTTGGGAGATTTTTCTTCTAAGCTGCTTTCCAACACTTAACCTGGAATGGCTTTCAGGTTGTTTGAGCTTTGGGGTTTTGCTTTCTTTAGGATGACTTTCCCTTTTTTAATGAAACAATTATTTTATGAATGTACTGCATCAGAGACAGAACTATTCAAAGATAGATTTCTGGGGAGAGTTCCCTTGAAGGACAAATACAGTTTATTAAAAGAATAGGACTTTTAGGTGCTAGGTGTTATTCAGGTACAGAATAAAAACATGTAGAAAACCAGTTTCAGTGCAAGGAAATGTGATGACAGCAAGAAATGGTGTTTGGATGTTTGATTTGGTAAATTTGAGTGCAAGTTAAGGTCTTTCTCTGTCATCCTCTGATAAAATGGATAGGTCTGAATAAGGAGTCAGTTATAAAGACGGGAATAAATGATGCAAAAATATGGAATAGCTGTTTAATAATAAAGAAAATAATTTGCGTGAGGCATTTGGAAGAGCAGGGAGGAGCCATTAGGGAGATGTGTTTGCAGCAAAATATCTTCTGCTGTATGAACTGACCTCATTCTGAGCGTCTGCAGAATCTGCCTGCCTATGAGCTTTGCCTTGAATGCTGCATATAACTTAATAATATTTGCAATATTTGGCTTGTGTTATAGGCAGTGTACCAGCTTGCAACCCTCGGCCAGAGGATGGCACTTCTGTTCAGCTTTCCTCACTGCCTCGTAACTCTATAACAGCACTGGTTTTGTCTCTGTCACATGGTCCAGGATTGTCCCCATATCTTAATCTTTCCCTTATTTGAATTTACAGGATTTAATGGAGCAGCTGGAAAAGCAGGACAAAACTGTTCGCAAGTTAAAGAAGCAGCTGAAAGTGTTTGCTAAGAAGATTGGTGAACTTGAAGGTACTTTTATATTTTGAGAGAAAGATTTTGGTTTACTTTGTGGTCTGGTTGTCATCATACCCATCTGTTTTAGCACTTGTGAGGTCTTCAGTAGCCTTAGCCTCTGCTGATTGCAGAAACAGGATGTATGCTTAGACCTCTGTGTGTTCCTTTATGAACCTTTAGAAGATGAGAAAAGGAGATTGATGTTTCTCTGAAGGCAGAAAGTATTCAAACATAAAGGAAGGTTTCCTGCAGTGTTTGTGAACTCAAAGACAGTATCTGGTTTTGCCAAGAGAAAAGCAGTATTAAATATGAACCAGGCAAAAATGAGTTACCCAGTTTTCCTTTGAATGTGAAGGTTAGTTACTCTAACTAAGTGGTTTTGTAAAAAAATCTTACAAAATTGCTCAGTTACTTCTCTGGACAAGATGACAGTAATGTTCATACATAATACAGAGTGGGAAAATGCTCCTGAAAATATAGTTTAGTCTGCGTTTATTGCCTGATTAACTTAGATACAGTAGGTCTGATTGGGAAAGTTAACTTTCACCATGGCAGCCTGTGTGATGCTGTGTTTTGGATTTGAGTCTGTAACACTGCTGGGGACACACTGGTGTTTTGGCTACTGCTGAGCAGAGCTGGACAGTGTCAGGTTTCCTTTTTACTCTGTCCCCTCAGTAAGCTGAGGTGGGAGGGCACAAGGGCAGAGCCAGGACAGCTGGCCAGAGCAATGTTCCATGTGCTGCACCTCCTAATGTCAGGAACCACAGGAGGGGATTTTCCACACAAGGCAGCTGTTGTTTGAGACTGGCTGGACATCAGTTCCCTCAGGGTGGGGGTTAATCATGGATGATTGCCTCTGCTCTGCTTCCTGTCCCCCCAACCCCTTTTCTTTCTCTTACTAAACCACCTTTTTCTCAACCAATGAGTTTTCTCAGCTTTGCTCTTAATATTCTCTACCCTGTCCTGCTGGTGCCAGGACTTTCCTAAGGAATGTTACAGAAATGTCTCTGGCATGTATTAGTTTCACTGGAAAATGTAATATTTCTTTCCATTCTCTCTCTGAAGTGGGCCAGATGGAGAACATATCACCTGGACAAATCATTGATGAACCTATTCGTCCAGTTAACATTCCACGGAAGGAAAAGGACTTCCAAGGGATGTTGGAATACAAGAAGGAGGATGAACAAAAACTTGTCAAGAATCTTATTTTAGGTAAGCATCTTTCTCCTTTGTGGCCTTCTCTGCTTCCACACAATATGAAAAATTAATGATAAAAAGACAGAATTTGCATTAGGAAACGCAAATTAGGAATGCTTATTTTGGTTTTGACAGTGTTCAGTTTATCTACAGTTCCTAAATGTGTATTGTAATCTAATTGTCCTTCCTGATGAGTATAGTACATATTAACATGCCTGCATATTTTAAACAAGCACTTATATTTTCTTATTCTGTTCTTTTACCAAGAAAATGGCCCTTAGTTTTGCTCTGAGTTTTCACTGGCCAAATATATATCCATACATGTATATGCTATTAACTGGGGAGGTTGCAATTACCTCATATAACATCTTCCAATGACTTGACACTTAACAAGACAATGTGTGTTTGTTTTTCCCAAGAGCTGAAACCACGTGGGGTAGCTGTCAACCTGATTCCAGGACTCCCAGCATATATTTTGTTCATGTGTGTGCGCCACGCAGATTACCTTAATGATGACCAGAAAGTGCGGTCGTTGTTGACTTCCACTATCAATGGCATCAAAAAAGTGTTAAAGGTTAGTTAGTCTGCTTAGTTAAGAAAAAAAAACCCATTAATTTTAAATTTGCTTTTGGTTTTATGTTAGGAGAATGAGGAAAAGGCTTTCATTGAATTGGCTTTGGGTTTGTCATCAGTGAACTGCCACTAAAATCCCAAGAGCTGTGTTAAAAAAATAACAAATTATATTGCTGGCATTTTATCCCTATAGCAGCAGAGATGCATTGAATTAATGGGAAAAGAACTACCTTCTTTTTGTTTTGAGTAGGCTCCCTCCTATGAAGCTCAGCTTATAAAGTTTTGGATGTAGTCAGAGTTTGCAGAGTGAGTCTTTGTTTATCTTCTCCAGAGCACTTAAATAAACAGTTTCATTTGCAGTTTTGGTTAACAGATTCCTCATTTGCTTCACCTACAGATTACACTGATGATAATATGTTACTGCCCAAAGTCTTTTCAAGGAGTTGGCTGGGAGAGTTCAGCCCAGGTGTATCTTGAAGGCGTTATTAAGACATGAACATGTTTTATGCTTACATGTTTTTTTATTTTTTAAATGAGAGAGATGTGTCAAAAGCCAGGCCCTTAATCAAACTACAATTTTTGAAAAAATACTTGGTAAACAATCCTGCAGGAGCTTAGATATCCATAGGAATTTTTGAACATTTTTAAGTGAAAGAAGTGCACACTGTGGAGCTGTAGAACCATTCAGCATATACTCAAGCCTGCATTCTTTAGTGAGAAGGGTTTTTGTTTTTGTTTCATTTTCCATTTCAGGCTGCCAGAATTGTTGTGATATAAGTGGGATTCATTAAACTGAATTGTTTCCTGCTCCTCCTGCTGGCTTTGTATCATTCCAGTCTTCCCCACTGGGCTGTTCACAAGAGTCATTGGGTATTTTGGGAATACAGTCACACTGCCCTTTGATTTCTGCCCAGAGCAATTAGGATGGGTCTGTAAAGCACAGAAAGATCATCTCTGTGGAGGAATTCATATTTGTGAAAAATACTAAGGAAAAGAGGGAGGGTGTTAATTGGCACTTTGCCAAAGCCCTTGTTTTCCTAATACATTACTGTAACACAAAGTTTTGCAAAACATCATAATGAGGATCTACTAGAAAGTGTACTTTAAGCATTTAGTTGTATATCTTGCCATTTAGTTGTATATCTTGCATTCTGTTTTATTTCTTCTGCCAGTCTGTGCTGAAGTGTGTTTCTTTTTATCTCCAGAAAAGAGGAGATGACTTTGAGACAGTGTCCTTCTGGCTGTCGAACACCTGCCGATTTTTGCACTGTTTGAAGCAGTACAGTGGAGAAGAGGTAAGCAGTGCTCTTATTCTGGTTTCTCTTGCTCTCCAGTACTGTCGTCAGCACTGCTCTTTAGCAAATCTTGTACAAAAGATCTAGTCATAGTCTCTTAAAATGGCTGGACCTTTTGGAATGATGGTGACAGCATCAGTGGAAAGGCACAGGGATGTAAGATTTGAACCAGCTTACCTTTCTTGCGGGCTGGGACCCAGGGTCTAGATGACATTGGGCTCCCAAAAGGGCCAGCTCAGATTAAGCAGGAGGATCTGGCAGCTAACATTATGGTTTTTAGCAATGATTAACTGCACTCCCTATCAAAAGGGACATAGTAAGCCTTTTAGCTTTTAGTATGGCAGACTAGTTGATGTTTGGAGGCTGTGATATGCCCAATTCCTCTTTTGAGCTTGACTGGGCTTTTGACCATAGCTGGCCAGGTGAAAATGCCCATGCTGGAGTGGGAGGAACTCTTGCCTCCAGAAAGCTGGCAGAGTTGTTCCTGTGTCACAGACCTGAAATTTTGAGTTAAGGTAGCAGATGCTGTGGACATTAAAGTTGAAAAGCAAATCCTAGCATTTGCCTCAATCAGACAAAGTTCCAAACTAAAATTTTGAGGGGCTGTGACTTAAGGTATTATTTGTCAGTTACATGAAAGAAAATGCAAATGCTGGGTTTGTGTAATATTTTTGTCCTCTACTGAAGCATTAATTTCTGTTATTTTATGAATGCAGGGGTTTATGAAGCATAATACGCCTCGTCAAAATGAACACTGCCTCACTAATTTTGATTTAGCTGAATACAGACAAGTACTGAGTGACTTGGCTATTCAGATCTACCAACAACTTGTCCGAGTGTTGGAAAATATTCTGCAACCAATGATTGGTAAGGCAAAGTTGAAATCCTTAAAATTCACAACACAGTACCAAAATTAAAATTGTTATGATGGTAGTAGATGTATCTTGTATTTCTTCCTAAACAGTAGAGTTTCATTACATCTCTGGTGTTCTGTTCAGAGATGACAATGGCTATTCTGGACAGGTTGGATTAGAGGAAAAATAAACTGTGACTGGTTCTTCTGGCAGTGCCAGAATAAATTGGTATACCTTATTCATGCTTGGCATAAATCAGGCATTTGCAGGAGGAAGCTGTCAGGACAATCTGATCTTTGTTACCCTGTCTGTTGGGAAATATCCCATGGAAAAATTAGACTTTAATTACATGAGAACTCTTAATTGAAATGAGTATGGAAAAAATGTTTAGTTGTTATGGACAGCAGTGAGGAATTAAATCACAAGCAGTGATAAAGCTAACATTCACAGAGGTTTTTTTTTTTCATTAAGAATACTTTTCATTTTCTGTTGCGACAATACTCTCACAGAAATTTTCATGATGCTTTCCAATCACAACATTTAAAAGAATGGAGGGGCTCTCAGTTTGCTGATTCTGCTGCTCACATGACTCTAGGTGGAAAAAAGTACTTTCCTGAGCTAGATTCAGACCTTTTAAACACAGTCCTTTAAATTCAGTCCTTTTAAACACACATGCTGGAATCTTGTAAAAACCCCGTGAACTTAGATTTTGCCAGACATAGTGGGACACACAATTTCTGGAAACCATGGTAAACTGTGGCCAGCAGAAAGCCCAGCCTGCTCTCCCTGCTTTGTTGTCTTGCCCAACATGCTTGTGTATCAGCAGCTGTCAGCCATTGCAATAATGGTGCCACCCAAATGCAGTTTCAGGAATGCTGGAGCACGAGACCATCCAAGGCGTGTCAGGGGTGAAACCGACAGGGCTGCGGAAGAGAACGTCCAGCATTGCTGACGAGGGCACCTACACCTTGGACTCCATCATCCGGCAGCTGAACTCCTTCCACTCGGTGATGTGCCAGCACGGCATGGACCCAGAGCTCATCAAACAGGTGGTCAAGCAGATGTTCTACATCATTGGGGCCGTGACGCTCAACAACCTCCTCCTGCGCAAGGACATGTGCTCCTGGAGCAAAGGAATGCAGATAAGGTGGGACAGCTTGTTACACTGCTCTGCAGTGCACTGCTGGAAGTCTTATTGAACTCTTGACATTGCTGAATATCATCTTGATGGAGCAGCAGATATCTGGAATATCTATTTTTCCACGTGCAAACAGGTGCAGATGGTGTTGAACTGATTTGGTGGAATTTGGTTAAAAACAGCTTACTTGACTTTGGCCAAATCCTACCTGACATTCAAGGAAATTCAGTAGAAACAAACTAAAAAATGTTTCATTATCAAGTAGGAATCAGAACTGTAGGTGAAATGTTGGTAACTGCTTCCTCAGCTTTTAGAGAAGAGTAGCAAACATATCTGCTGCTTTTTTTTGTATACTGATGGTGCAGGGGATACCTCTTTGTCTACACTAGTTTGCTGCATCCTGAGGTAAAGCCATCTGAATCATCTCCTGCATTTCACATCATTTGTTCAATGGATTTTACTGGCATATGTCAGGAAATTTAGCCAGGGCATTCCAGTCCCTCAGGTTACATCCCAAAGCCTTGTACTTTAACATGGGCAAAATCTCATTTGCCTTTCTTTTATCACATTCATGCAATTAATAGGAACAGAAACAAATGGGAAAGACTAGTTAGTGGAAATCTTTGACCATAGTTTCTAACTGTTGTGAAAGTCAAAATCCCTGCCTTAATTTGAAGAAAACAGTGTGAAGACAAAATAACAAGACAGAAAAACACATAACACAACTTCTTCTGGGAAGGAGCAGCACTGGGACAGAGATATTGCACATGCTTCCCTTTTATCCATAATCAAGCATTAATGTTCTTGATGCTCTTTTCTCTTTGTACAGATACAATGTGAGTCAACTGGAGGAATGGCTACGTGATAAAAATTTGATGAATAGTGGGGCTAAGGAAACCCTGGAACCCCTCATCCAGGCTGCACAGTTGTTGCAAGTAAAAAAGAAAACAGATGAAGATGCAGAAGCCATATGTTCAATGTGCAATGCACTGACCACTGCCCAGGTGAGCAAATCCCCATTGTCTGTCTGAGCAGCTCTCTGCTCTGTTGGTGTTGCTATCTCTGCCAGCACTGCTGTCACGCATGACTTGGAGGTTTCTTACTTGGTTTTGCTAAAACAGATTAAGTTGGAGGGGTGAAAAAAGGACCAGATCCTTTTGAGTCTGGTGTGTGAGATAAGTTTTGAACAAATGAGAGGAAGCTCAATAGATTGTGCAGGGTGCAGTGCTGTACACAGTCTCTCAGTTTTTGGAAATCCTTAGAGAAAAGTCTTTATTAAAAGACATCTCTGTACTCCAGACAGCTCTGCCTAGGGTAGTAGGAGTTGGTCTTTCTGCCATCAGAGTTGGTATCCAGCCAAGCTGATGGACAATTCAAACAGAGCTGTTGTCTGTGAGTCTGCGAACAAGAGTGTGAGGTTACTGTACCCATTAGCCTCAAAGGCTGAACCAAGTGGGTCTCAGTAAACAGACTCCTATTTATGAAAGCTCAGATTTTGTACAGATACGTTGCACTTCTTTTTCAAACCATGCTACATTTGCATAGAGGTTGTACAGGAATAAATGGACCCAAGCATCTTTGATGCTTACTGAACAATTCTCACCAGGAAAAGGAAGAAATTTTCCTTTCTTTCACAGTTGTGTCAGCACTTGCATTTGCATTAATAAAGCTATTTTGATTTATTAATTCACGTTACTGGAAGGTCACTTAGCATTCTATTGAATAAGAAGTTAGAATTCCATGTGCTGTGTTTTAACTTTTTAACAAAATGTTTTGGTTTTTAAATAAAGGGAATGGTAAAAAACCAAAGAGAATATTTAATAGGTTTTACAAGTTTCACCCATATTATTGTTTAAAATCTTTGTTGTGTAATTTTTCCTTTGGTGGTTTTAGCCCTGTTTTTAGAGAATAGCTCACTCTCTTGAAAAACAGAGAAGTTGTAAGACTACAGGAGGTCATGACTACAGGGTAAAAATTAGGGTGAGAAATTCATCATGTTTTTGGGGTGGGTAAGAGAACAATCAGTTACTTCTCGTGATTTTTTTCCATCATTTCGTATTTTCATCACATATGTAGAAATTTTGGGTTTCTACGTCATGTGTTCTGAAGGAGGCAGTCATTTAACATAGCATTGGGCAGGGTGATTGAATTCTGCATTAATCAATAAAGCAGAAAAATAACAGATGCTTGAAAATAACTTTCTTTTTTTTAAATAGCTAATTTTAAAACTATATTATTAGTAATCACGGATGCATCTGTCGATTGGTCAGTAACATGAACCTGAAAGTGATTGTTCTTTTTCACAGATTGTCAAAGTTCTGAATTTGTATACTCCAGTTAATGAGTTTGAAGAGAGAGTCTTGGTGTCATTTATACGTACAATACAGGTATGTCTGTCTTTTCATCAAAAACCATTTGACTATTTCTAAGAAAACCTCTGATCAGCCAAAATTGTTTGCACCCTGAAATACATTGAGGAAAATTAGTTAAACTGTGCTTTTTAGCTATCATAGTTTAACAGCATTGAATAGGTGAAGTCAGCCTTAAAATTTAAGCAATTAGGAATTCCTGCCTCCAGACTTACATGAAAGTGTTAGTTTCCCTGTCACTATGTATGAAGCTTTTAGGTGAGAGATTTTTGTGCCTATTCATCTTTGTGTATGTAACCTCACTTGTGTGACAACTTTTGAAGCACTAAGATTTAGATGTGCAAATTCATTCAGACCTGTGTCTGTATGTGAAGTTCTGTGCTTTGAAAACTGAGGCCTATATCTATACCAAAGTTCTTAATTTACCCCTTCTATTTTTGTATATATTTGTGAAAATGAAAAGTTTTGAAAACTCTGAAGAGAAGCAGCCAGTAGAGCAAAATTAAGGAAACAAACATGAAATTTGTGATCTATTAGAAATTGAATTACAGTATTGCAAGATAAGGGAAATTGGGAAGGTAGAACTGAGATAAAGCTGTAATTCTACTTACTGAAAAGATGGTTACTGGGCAAAATCTTCCTTTTGCAGGGAATCTAAGTATTCCCAGATTGCATTGTTAAGGGGAAGATGTGCAGAACTGAAGCAGATCAAAGTAACTGCAGGTTAAAGTCACAGCTGGTGTAAATGTGTCAGCTCAGGTTAGCACAGAGTGTGTTTGCACACACACGTCTGTGAGCACAGATCAGCTTTGCAAGGTGGCTCTTACCAGTCAGCTGGCTAAATGTCATCCCTTTCTTGTCTTTGCAGGTGCGTCTGCGAGACAGGAAGGACTCTCCTCAGTTGCTCATGGATGCCAAACACATCTTCCCTGTTACTTTCCCCTTTAATCCATCCTCTCTGGCTTTAGAAACCATTCAGATCCCAGCCAGCTTGGGCCTGGGCTTCATATCACGTGTGTGATCCCCAGGATGTGCCGTCAGTGTTAGATGGAGAACCAGTTGCCTGATATCTGTACCTGTTAAAACATAGTGAGCCACTAACCCCACGTTTTCTGAACAAAAGCCTGTCTAAGCCCAGGTGTGTAGTTAAGGTAGCTGGGAACTGCACAGCAGCACCACAGGCTGAATGCTCCTAGAAAGATGTGCATTTGTGCTCAGTCACTGCATTGATGAGGACATCACTGATTCGAACATGTCCAGAGTATGGAAATCGGGCTTGGACAAAAATTGTGTCTTCAGCTGTCTAGAGACATTTTTAGATCTTTAGTAACATATTTAAATAGTGTAAATTAAAATCCATATGTAATCTTCTCATAGGTGGGGACCAATAGGGACAGTCACAGTCCTGGACATGGAAAACTTGAAAGTAAGGCATTTTGTAGAATACACAGTCACGTGGGAGCCTGTTACATTTAATTTGTAAAAACTGAATGGAAAAACACAAACTGGCAATATATAAAGTTATTTCTTAAACCACTTCCTCATTTATGTCAGTTTGACATAAATTGTAGTGATAAGTCCTATAGCTCACTATATGCTCTAACTTAGGTGTTTATTTGTTAGAACTGTGGTTTACCAAGCAAACTAAATCGCTGCTGCACATTCTGTTGTTTTACATGTATGACAGTATCATACTAAGCACTAAAAATAAGACACTTCATTTTTTTGTTGTCAACCTTATTTACAGTCTGTTGCAGTCTGTTATTTTAACTGGATTTTTGCACATTGTATCAAGTAACACCTGTAGAGGAAAATGGTAACTAAGCACAAGTAGCACACTGGAAATTACACATTTAGTTATTTTTAGAAGTAGTTAGCTAAAAATACAGAATCTGGAAACAAACGATCAGAAGTCAGTAATGATTTTAGTATTTATTTAGGTTACAGTCTGTCTAATGTTCTTTGTTTGTAGACCCCAGAGATGGCATTGTGTATTTTAAGTATAATCTCTTGGTTTTTTTGCCACTTAAAAAAAGAAATAACTACAGAGGAAAGTCTTCTTTCTCACTGGAATATGAGAGGAAAAACTTTAATAGAAAATTTCTGCAGTAGCCCAAGGCTCTCATTCTTAGAAAGGTTGACTAACAAGAAAGTTAAGTAGGTTTTGACTATGATGCTGTCACTTGACTATGATTCATGCTGATTTAATGGTTGGAAATCAGAGTGCATAATGAGAAACTGAGTTATTTTGAATGTTGCACATTTTACTGGAAAGATTTTTCTGTCTCACACATCTTGGATCTGCCATATAAAACTCACATTTCACAATGTGAGGCATAAGCGTGGAAGCCTGGCGCAAGGTTCCAGTTCTGTGGTGGATGGCTCAAACATACATGTAAAAATAAAGCCACACACATTGCTCAGTTGCATTGTGCAATATTTTTAATGTATTATAATAATCTGCATCTTAGTGTTAACATTAATTTATTTTACAATATTGATAAATAACCTAGAGGTACACTATTAGACTGTTTGGTGCTCCTCTGTTTGCCTGCAAGTTCACAGAGAAAAGATTTGCTGTTAAGCAGACTGAAACATTTCAGTTTTGTTTTACTTGAAAGGCAGACATGCTGTTTGTATGGTTGCTAAAACTGGAAATAAAGACAACATAAACTTTCTCAGTATCATTTGAAGATGCTCCTGTCATCTTGTATTCAAATGGCCCATATTACATTTGATGGATCATGCCAGTACTTCCAAGAATTTGTACTGCATTGTAAAAAGGTTCTGAATGATCTTTGCTAAATGATTTAGGTTTTCCTCTGCATCATATACCAAACACTCAATTTTTGCTTGATTTCTGAAATTCTGGCTGCTGTGAAGTGGCTGCAAATGAGGTGTAAGGTCGTTTTCAGACTGTCAGGTACTGTACTTGTGAGAATGTAATGGCAAAGCCTTCGCATCCAGTAACAGGGTTAGGAAAGAAAACACAGGAGAACATGCTGACCTCCCAATTTTTTTTCTCCTATTGAAAAACAAACAATTGGCATTACAGTGTGTTCATACTGTAGATCAGGAAATGTATCCATTACTTAAGCGTTAGTGTTTAAAATGTATGCCTAAATGTATTTTTGTTTATTTTTGCAGTTTGTTTACCTGTAAAAAGCCTTATTGTATCGTTTCCTTAAAAAAAGCAGTGTCTAGTAATTTATAGGTATCATCCTTAAACTCAGTGGTTTGACTGGTATTACTTTTGTATCACATTAAAAGTATATGCTGCTTGACATGTTTTAAAGGAAAATATTTTTGAGTTGGAATAGATGTGTAGTTGGTAATTCATCTAACATTTTACATGGCAGTATTTTACATGCACTTTTCAGAAGTAAAATTTTAGTGTGAGTGTATAATATAACTTTCACCTTAGGACTAAAATCTCTTTAACCATGGAATATAATGCAGAATTATTTAAAGAACTTTTTTTTCCTTTGAATCATTGTTATGCTCCTTTAATGTGGACATATCTTTTATATTTTAATTTATTATCTATTGAGATTATAGATTTTATCAGATGCTGGAAAAATACTTGTCAATGACCCCTTAGAAATATATACAGTTATTCTACAGATTTTGCACAATAATTACCTCATTCAGTTTGGTGTATTTTTATTCCAGTGATCACTTTATTCTGATAGGTCTGTTTAGGACACAGTCTTCTATCCAAATTTTGAAAAATTGTTTCTCACACTTCAAACTGGGATGGAACATAAAAGTGCTTAAGTCGGTTAACTGAGATTAATCTGTTACAGGAAAAAGTAGCATCAGTTTCATTGAAAGTGGATTGATATCCAGCAACATTTGTTCCCAACTTGGAAACACCAGCAATTGCAATTTGAAGGTCTATATGTAATTTGTGATTTAAACTGAACACATTTCAAATACCATACTAAAACTATGAGCAAACACTTGGGTTTTTTAAGATGCTGATACTTCATGCGATGAGTAAAAGCCTTTAAACATAGGTTTTCACTTGATGCCACTACAGTACATAGATGAAAAACAAAACATTGTCAGAATTACCTGAGCTCTGATCTGTTGTAGTGTCTGATGTTGTACTTAGTAAATGTATGCATCATAAAAACTGTAGCCTAATAGCTATCACTGGAAAATGTCCAAATAAAAGTACAACTGTACAGTTTGTTTCAGGGTTTCTTTGGTTGGTTGATGGCTCATGAGCTGTGTGCTGGCATAGACCCCAGCTGGTCACAGGGTTCCCTCTGCCTCCACGGCAGGCTTGGTGTTGACTGCCAAGGGAGTTGGTTAAAATCTGAGGATGTGTAAATACACACCCAGATAGCAGCAGTGTGCCATAAACTGCTGTGCTTATGGGAGAATGCTTTGTTCAACATAACCCACTTCTGGTTAGGGTGTTTTGTTGTCTGATATTAAATGTTCCTGAAATAAAATTTGAGTAACTGCATTCCCTTGTGTGCTATGGAAGCTCCTTGTGTTGGGTGGAGGGCTGGTGGGTCTAGCAGGTACCTGCCTGCTAAAACACGGCATTGTGATTATTCAAGTCTTCTTCCTCATAAATTATATTCAACTGTAGCACCTGCTAGCACTTTAAACCTACTAAATGCACTCAGAGTTGTTATTTTTTATCTTATTCTGAGCTTGTCATAGAAATTCCTTTACAGCGCTTTGTAGGGCGGTGATTAATGTGTCTGTTGGTTCTCTCCGCTGGGTCAGGACTGCTCCCTGGGGACCCTCTGGCAGCCGCCGTGTCCGTCATTCCCGCTCCCTAAAGGTGTGTCCGAGGTGCCAGGACGGTGGCTGGGAGCACGCCCAGCTCCGGACGGCCAGAGCCGGGATCCTGCTGCCCGCTGTGCCGGGCTGTGCGGGCCGGGCCGGGCGGGAGCGGGGCAGGGCCGCTCCCCACGCCCCGGGGCGGGGGCCGGGCCGCGGCACCTGCGGAGCCCTGTCCGCACAACCGCGGCTGTGCCCCGATGGCGCTGGCCGAGCTCTACACGCAGGTGAGAGGGGCTGGGGAAGGGCTGAGGGCAAGGGGCTGTGTGGGCTCCGCCGGAGCGGGGCTGAGGCTGGCCCGAGGGCAAGGGGCCGTGCGGGCTCCACTGGGGCTGGCCCGAGCTCAAGGGACCGTGTGGGTTCCGCCGGAGCGGGGCTGGGGCTGGAGAAGGGCTGAGGGGAAGGGGCCGTGAGGGCTCTGCCGTAGCGGGGCTGGGGCTGGGGCTGGCCATGGGGAAGGGGCCGTGAGGGCTGTGCCGTAGCGGGGCTGGGGCTGGGGCTGGCCATGGGGAAGGGGCCGTGAGGGCTGTGCCGGAGCCCTTGGTGCCCGCGGGCGGTGGGCACAGCGCGGAGCCGCCCGTGCGGGGCACCGCACACAGGGCACCGTGCGGAGACACTTCTCTTTGAGAAAAAACGCTCCTTTTGTGAGAGTCTCGGCCTCCGCGAGCAGGTCTCGCTGTTCTAGCCAGCGATTAGGCGACGTGAAGGTTTAACTGCCCTTCCCTGGGCGCTCAGGCTCGGAGCGCCGCGCTTTCTGCTGGGCAGATATTGAATGTGTGCGGCAGAGCTTGGCCCTAAAGCAGATTCTTCCTCTTTAAAGCGCCTCCTGAAACTTTTGCACAACTTTTCCCTCTTCTCCTGTAGTCGCCGGAGTGTTGTGACGTATCGTTTGTTTGCTTAGCTTTAAATAACAAGCCAGCAGGGGTATGTGGGTGATTTAGTGAGCCTGTCGCTCACCTTGCAGCAGCAGCTGCTCCCAGCGAGCCGGGTGCTGCAGGGCTCGTGGGTCCCGCTGCTGCTCGGAGCCGCTGCGAGAAGGAGCGCGGTTTTCCCAGGAATGCTGGAGAGGTGAAGGGGGAAGGAGTGCGGGTGTAACCTGACACGGAAATGAGCAAACTCCCGTCTGTTTACCTGCGAGGCAGGGTTTGGAGACAGCCAACTCTCTAGGCTGGGTGCATTTGCCAGTGGAGGCTCCTGCAACTCCAGGGGCCTTTCCTGAAGAATCAGGAGTGCTTTTATCACATTCTCCTCCCTCCCTTTCTCGTCCTTGACCTAGTGCAGTTCATTTTCTTGCATGGGAACACACTGTGTGCCCCTGAGGCTGTTTGGTGGCGATATTCTAACTCACAAAGAACAACAGCAAACAAAGAATTCAATTTAACAAGCACTTTTTGTAAGCCAGGAGGAGATCAGCATAGTGTAGGAATGACACAAATAACAATTTTGAGTTGGATAAACACGGAAAACTCAAATATAAAGCTAATTTAGCCACGTCTTTCATGTGGCCATTATATAAATACTTGTGGAGCTGAGCTTTTGTCCCCTCGGTCAGATAGATGAAAACATTGCCACTACAGTTGTTCGGGGTTGTTTAGAAAATGTCTTTGGGATTTGGATATTGTGTGAAAACTGCCATCATGCTGAAAGCATCAGCAAGGAGGTGTCATGGAAGCAGCTGTGGTTGTTCACCCCCTGATGAGCACCAGGTTGGTGTGTGGCACACTAGAAGGGTCAATGTCTGTCCTTAGAGATACTGAAAACCCAGCTGGAGAAGTCCCTGAGCAGCACAGGCTCACTCACAGGACGTTCTTGTGCAAGTCCCTCCTGCCCTACATTGTTTGGTGGTGATCCTTGGGGTTAGAATTAAGGCAGCTACAGCTGTGCAGTGCAGCTTGCAGGTGTAGGCACCCACCTGCAGGCTCAGTGGGGTTCTTGGGGCAGAGACTCTCATGTTCTCAGGATCTGCTGGAGCTTCCAAGGCTCCTTCCAAACTGGAGAAGAAAAAAGTCGCTTGTGCCAAAACCTGTAACAGTTGCAGCACCAAAAGGAAAGAGAATTCAAGTCCCCAAGGGATCCGTGGGTCTGCTCACACTCCATGAAATGGTGACTAATGTTAATTTTTCAAGAAAGCAGCTGCAGCAGTTCTCACAGGTTTATTTAAACAGCTTGTTTCAACTGACCATGAATACAGCTAGGGTGAGGGAATTAAGGGAAGGGTTTTGGCTATCAAAACAGAAAGATGCTGGAAGAGTACACATTACAGTTTATTTTGTGAGTAGGACAACGATGTCGTTTTGTCAAACCCTGTCAGGATGAGAAGGACACACTCCACATCAGTAAAGTAATACCTACTAACTGAGGTTTCCAGCTTTGTTATATCCTTTTAAGGACTGTCGCTTCCCACAGCTTCTCAGGCAGAGCATTTAAAGAAGCTGCTTTTGCTTCTGCATTTTAACTTCAGCATAGGAGAACTAAATGGTTCAAACAGCATAACTTACATTCAAATATTTTTTTTCAAATATCTATGCTTCAGTAGGTTACAGATACCTTGCTGGGATGGAGCTAAAGTATGCTTTAAAGAAAGAAACCAGCCAGTAGTCTTTGAAGTTTGTCCTAGAGCAGGGAAAGATGTTTGGAGGTTGCACTTCAGTCCCATTAAAAGAAAGGGAACTGTGCAGTCTTTCTTAGGTATGACAATGTGCCTATGGCAAAATGCATTCTGAGTTCAGTGTCCTCTACTTGAATTCAGGGAAGTGATTTTCTATACCTGATTGTCTGAATTCTGGTGATGAGATGCTTTCTCTGCTACTTGCTTATTTGAACCCTCCTAGAAACAAGGTCTCTCCCTTAAGTGTGTTTTATTCTTTGTTCAGTGTTAGAGGATTTGAAGAGCCTGGCAACAGTCTGGCCCTTGCTCACCTTCCTGCATGCTGTGTTGTTCTGCAGACTCTGCTCTGAACAGGAGCAGAATATGCATGTCTGAAATTAATGAGTCTGCTTTCTTTTTTTATTCTTTCATAAAAAATAACAAAATCATAAAAAATATATCCTGCTGTACAGAGCTAATATTAATCGCCAAAAGTCCCAGAATGAGGTTGCACTTGATGTTTGAAAGGTATTTTTTAATGCTAGCCTGGTATTATGATAGTAGCTAAGTTAACTATTGTCTTGTTTTTCTGTTACAGTACAACAGGGTTTGGATCCCTGATAATGAAGAAGTTTGGCAGTCTGCAGAAATCACAAAAAACTACAAACCTGGAGACACTTTTCTGCATGTGCAATTAGAAGATGGAACTGTAAGGAGAAAAGCCTGAATTATTGTGGGGTTTGCTGAGATATGTTTATGCAGAAACATAGCATCACCATCCTGGGATCTGAATAACATGTACACATTTCCCTTTTTCATCATATTGAAATTGGTACAGTGCACATCTGCAGCCCAAAAATACGAGGAGTGCAATTCCACTGTTGGTATTCATTAGTATGGAGAACATATCTCAAAGATTGCTTTGGAGACAAGCCCTGAAACTCACCCTAAATTGAAGTGAAAATCAGAAGTGCACAGCAGGCATAGTTCTCTCTCACAGAGCCAGCTTTTTGCTTTTTCAGTTGGTTTGTGTAAGATTGTTAATTTCAATATCCAAGTTCTTTAAAGATTTAATACTTTGACAGTATTTCTGTATTTCTGCATTCCTGTTCCATAAAGATAAATATGAAAGGTATTAATTTATTTTAATGGATTTGTTGAAAGAAACAGAAGTGAGTTTTAAATTTTCTGTAAAGAAAACTGAGGTGTTACAAGTAAGGATAATTATAGAGCTGACTTGAGTTCTGACCAGGTCTTCACTTTCATTCTGTTGCAGCTGATCTGTTATTCTCATCTGTACTTGAAATATTCTTTTTTTAGAGAGCTAAACATGTGTCCCATTTTTACAGATTTCAATACAAAATATTGTAAGTAAAGAGAATGAGTCTTTCTTTTTCATAAGCAACAAACACTTCAGTTCCCCCAAGTTCAGTAGGATGTATGGAATCAATGAAACAGAAGATTAGACAGGGTTCCATCAACTCTATAACTTCATGTAAAGGTAGAAGATTTGTATTTATGCAAATATAATGCATTTTATAACATTTCAAGTAATTTTTACTTGAAGGAGCTGAGTTACCCTGTTGATCCAGCTGCTTTGCCACCACTACGAAATCCTGACATACTTGTTGGTGAAAATGATCTCACTGCACTCAGTTATCTCCATGAACCAGCTGTTCTACACAACCTTAAAATTCGTTTTGTGGAGTCTAAGCTTATCTACACATATAGTGGTAAGCTAAGTGAAATGAAGAGTTTTTAAAAAATCTTTTAAAAAAAGTATTGATCTTGATTCAATTTGCAACATGATGTGTGTAACGTTTTCCTGAAGTGTATTTTAGCTCATGTTAACTGGTTTTATATGTCAGTATAGACTTGTTTGATCATCAGGACATTCTACCTAGAAAATATTGCTACTTTGTATTATTTCAACTGCCAAAACCAGGCATTTCTTATAACTAACCTGTGTTTTATTTTTGTTTTGTACACTTGACTGTAGGGATAATTCTGGTTGCAATAAACCCCTATAAGCAGCTGCCAATATATGGAGATGCCATTATCCATGCATATAGTGGGCAAAACATGGG